TTTAAATCTAATATTAAAAAAAAAAATGAAAATAAAAAAAAGGAATAAAATAAAATAGAATAAAAAGGTAATAAAAATTAAGCTAAAAAAATTAAATAAAAATACAAAATAAAATATTAATTAATGCAAAACAAAATAAAAAATTGAATATAATAAAGTGGAATAGAAAAAAAATTATTTAAAAAAAACATAATAAAAAAATGAAACGAAATAAAATAAATTAAAATAACATAAAGTTAGTTAATATAAAATAAAATGAAGTAATAACTAATAAAATGATTTTATATGGAATTAAATTGAAGTAAAAAAATAAACCAAAGCACATTGAACACATATAATAAAATTAATAAAAATAATATAATAATAAAATAAAAAAAAAATATAATGAAATTATATAAAATAATATAATGTAAAAAAATATTAAACGAAGAAGAATAAAGCAAAATGCAATAAAGATGAAATTAAGAAAATAAACAGTTATTTAAAAAATACGTAAGAAAAATTAAAGAAAAAAATGCCATAAAAAATAGAATAAGTTATAAAACATAACAAAAAATATAATTAATAAAAATGAAATATTATTTAAAATTAAAATAAAATAAGTTAATATAAAATAAACCTTATAAAATAAAAATAAACCTAATGATTTGATATTAAATTAAATTAAAGTAAAATTAATAAAACAAAGAAACATAAAACAAAACATAATAAAATATATAAAAAAGTATAATAAAATAAAACGAAACGAAATAAAATAAATTAATATTAAATAATAAATATAAAATGAAACAAAAAATAATATAATATAAAAAAATAAAAGAATTAAAATGTGATAAAATAAATAATAATAAAGTTAAATATTAAATAAAATATTAAATAAAATACAAAATGAAAATACAACATAATAAAATGCAACACAAAAAATGAAATAAAATAAATAAAAACAAAATAAAATAAAATGAAGTAATAAACTAAAATAAAAAAATAAAATACATTAAATTAAATTAAAATAATTTGAATTTAGCAAATTAAATAAAATGCAATAAAATCAAAAAAAGAAACAAAATTAATTAGAATTAAATAAATTAAAATGAATTAAAAATAAAATAAAATACATTAAATTAAATTAATGTAATTTAAATGAAATAAAATACAATAAAATTAAAAAAAAAATGAATTAGAATAAAATTAAATAAAATTAAATTAAAAAAACAAAATAAATTATATTAAATTAAATTAAAGTACTTTGAATTAAATAAATAAAATAAAGCAATAAAATTAAAAAAAAATTAATTAGAATTAAATAAATTAAAATTATTAAAAAAATGGAATAAAATAAAAAAATTAAATAAAATTATATATAATAAAATAAAATAAAGTGAAACAAAAAAAAAATTAAATTAAATCAATTAAAAAGAAAATTAATTAATAAAACTACTAATCAAAGTTCAACGCTTATTTGTTTCCTCTTCAATTTTTATGAGCATACAATTTTATGGCGGTCAAAGTGCAGACAGAGTTGCTCTGGTGAGCAAACAAAAATAATAAAATATTAAAAAATACACATTTTGATTTCACAATTGTTATTTATCATTATTTATCACACTATGCACTATAGCGTGATTTTGATAGCGCGATAAGCAATCGGAGGCTATTTAAAAACTTACAGTTTTTAATCCACCTGGCAACATTGTGAGTGCGCATGCACTATTTACCTTGCCTTTTCACTGCTAACAGTAAATACCAAGTGCGTATTCAACTGATAAGCGCTTTTTGATTTGTCTAAAGAAACAATCGTTAATGTCATATTATTTATATTATTTTTTGTATTTGTTTTTGTAATATTAGCTGTTATTTTAATGAACTAATTACAAGCTTTCGCTTTTGGTATTAATATACTTAGATTTCATTAGCAATTTAAGGCGCGCATTTGAATGGCAAACGATCGTCCGTCTCATTATATGTTATATATGTACATATATAAACAAATATATATCAATGATAGTTCTTGTCATGAACTCGATTAAGGTCTGATTGTATATATGTATATAAATGCGATTTTTTACATACATGCATACATACATACATATGTATATGCACTCGTATGGGCGTGAACTTGTCTCAATTCTTGCGAAACTGCGTTTTAGAATCAGAATGGAATAAATATAAAAGTATATATATACATATATTCGTATATATATACATATGCTTGTAACAGAGTATAACTGAAGCTACTTAACTAGCCTCCAAAAAAAAAAATAAAAGAATTAAAAATAAAATTATAATTAAAAAAAAAATATTAAAAAAAAAATTAACAATAAATTGAAAGCACTTAAAAAGAGTTTAAAAGACAACAAAAAAATAAAAATTAAAAAAAAATTTGAAAAAATCATATAAATATAAAAAAAAATTAAACAAATTTAAAATAATAAAAAAATTAAAGAAAATAAAATAAACTAGTTCTTCCTCCATAAAAGCCAAATTAAATTAATTTTCGCATAACAAAATATTTCAGTTAAATATTTAAAAATTATTTTTCGCCAACTCATCTTTCCTACTATTATCACCTTTTTCCATTTATGTGTGTTAATTATTCAATTAAATCGCCATTTCCACTCAAATTCCAGTGGTTTTCTGAATGACTTTTCATTTATTTACAAATAATTTATTTACTACTTATTATTGTCAACAAAAGTGAAATTATGGGGATTCCCAAGAACAACACCTGCTTAGTCTGGTTTATTATTGGCCTAGAGGCAGTTAATTTCAGTCTAAAAGGGAAAAAGTTTAAAAAGTAAAAACAAAAAAAATAAAGTTTTGCCCTTTTCCTGGAATGAATCACTTTGTCTGTCAACACATAATGCCTAATCATGAACCGGTATTAATGAATAATGAATATAAATGAACACTTTTATTTTTAATTATGAAACGAGGGCAAGTGCTTTGTGGCGATGTTTCGTAATGGTGTTAAACCTTTCCGTCTAATACAAAGTAATTTCATTTAAAAAAATTACACCAGAGCACAGCATTTGAAATTAAATTTAATTTATAGAAATAGAAATGAAATAGAAATATATTTTTTTATTTAAAATAGTATTGAGTTAAACTAAGGTTGAAACAAATTAACTGAATTTTGAAATATATTTAATTTTTTTTTATAATTCCTAACCTTCCAAAAGGCAATAACACAATGCTAACCACTTGAATATTGCAACGAAGTTAATAACTCCAAATTTATTAATTTTGATGAAAAATTAAATAAACAAAATCTGAAAAATATTGACTTTTTTATGCTCAATTTACATGTGTGTTGTTGTTTGCATAAATAATTTCCACAAACAAGCAAAAAAAATGACGCGATATAAATAAACAAGTCATTGCAAATTAATTAACCAACGATTAGCAATTATAAAAAGCAATTGCAGGAAAAAAAGAAGCTTTAAAAGAAAAATATATCTGCGCTGCTCCGCACGGTAGCCGTCGCTTTGCGTTAGAACTTTTTTTGCAAAAATAAAAAATTAATTAAAAATTGTCGATAAGCGCATAAGCCTTGCCGTTGTGTGGAAAAGCTTTGCTAAAGAAGTCAATTAGAGCAAATATTTGCACACACACAAGCAAACAAACACACACGCGCGCGTGGGTAATAAAAGCGGAAATATTTATGTTTATTTAATTTCTTCTTTATATATTTTGGAAATTTTTTGCCTTTGTCAAAATATTTGCACATTTAATTATTGTGTAGACTTCCTTTGGTTTATTTATTCTAAATTGTTTTTTAATTTTTCAATTCCATAATTTTTTACAATATTTCTATCTTTTTTGATTTTTTCACATTTTTTATTTAGATCTTTATTAATTTTTCCTTTTCTTTTAATAAAATATTTTATTTTATTTTATTTTTATTTATTTTGTTAATTATATGTATATACATATTTTTATATTTTTATTTGTTTATTTATTTTCATTTATTTATTTTTTTAATTATTTATATTTACATTTTTTATTGTTTTTAATTTTATTTTTATTAAAATTGTTTAATATAATTTTTTTTTCGTTGTTTTTTTGTTTCTGTTTTTGGTTTTATTAAATACTTTCTTATTTTTTAATTTAATGTATTTATTTATTTCTCATTTATTATTGATCTTTCATATTTATTTTTAATTCTTAATTTTTCGATTTTCTTATTCGTTTATATTTCATTTATTTCCCATTTTAATTTATATATTTTTGATAATATTTACTTTTAATTCTTTTTATTTATTCATTTCAATTAAATTCATATTTTTATTTTTCTTTTATAAAATTATTATTTTTTTTTGTTTTTTTATTAATATTATCTCTTTATTATCATGGATTTTAATTAAATTTTTTTATTTTATCATGAATTATATTACAGTTATTTTACTAACTTTTTATACTTTTTTTTTATTAATTTTATTATTTTTAGTTTTTTAAATTTTTTTATTAACTTACGTGTTTATTTATTGACTATTTATTTTTGTTGATTTTTTCGTGTTCTTTTTTAATTTTTTATTTATTTTCATTTTCTAACATATTTATGTTTAATTCCCTTAATTTATTAAGTATTTATATACGATTTTTTTATTACTTGATTTAACTTTGCCCTTTTAATTTTATTTTTTAATTATTTCATACTTTTTTCAATCCTTTTTAATTTTTTATCACATTTTTTTTTTTTAATATTTATATGTTTTTTTAATAAGTTCTTTTCAATTTTTTAATTTTTTTATCTATTTTCTCATTCATTATGTTTTTAAATCATAACTTTTTATTTAATTGTATTTTTTTGTATTTATTATTTCGTTTATATTAATTCATTATTTTTTAATTAATTTATTTTTTTACGTTTTTATATATATTTTATTTTTCCCATTTTCGATATTGAATATTTATAATTTTTTTATATACGTATTTTTTATGTATTATTTTATATATTTTTCCTTTTTTATTAATTTACTTGTTTTTCTGTTTGTTTTCAGTGAACGTTTGGAGGAGCAGAGCAAATTTGTGCCGCACAAGCATAAATATGAAATTGTCCCCGCCACCGATAAAGCGCATCAACAGACACAACACTATCAGCAGCTGCAGCATCAGCAAGCTCTGCTACAGATACAACAACATAATCATCTTACACATCAGAATGTACATAATCACAATCAATTACAGCACATACAACAACAAAATTTTGCACAATCACGTCGGCGCTCAAGACTCTCATCGATCGCTTCGTATTTGTCAGCGGTGCCGGATGAGAAGGCTGCCAAACGCGGTGTTTTCCATCAGGTGAGAATGTAGATAAGTATATGGGTGTGTATATGTATATACAGTGATTGCATGCTTATCAAGCAATCAGCTGATTGTTTACTTACGATAACAGCTGTTCTTACGGAATGATTGTGCAAATTTAACGGCTTTGGTTTGATTTGCCATTATATTAATTATGGATTAATTTGCCATAATATTATTTGATATATATAAGATATATTCATATCAGTTGATTGCACGGCAATTAAAAATTGTTTAAATAATCAATCATTAAAAAATGACTGCAATAGTTTTCAATTAGAATTAAAAGTTTATGACAGGATGTCTCCTTCTTGCTCACTTCCTTCTGTTCATTATGTAAGTGTTATCAAATTAACAGTAAGTTCAGGGAGTTTTGGGGCAGACCATATCAAAATTTTTTTTTACAAAAAATCATTTGTAAGCAAATAAATAACCTGTCTAAATGGTTTAAGTAAATAGCGTATCTAATAAATATAAACAAACAAATATTTCCTCTATCAAAATATTTTAAAGTCAACACCTAATTCCCACGATTTCTATTGTTTATCCAATTTGGCAGTGTGAGAATTATTTCACAACACCAAAAATTGCCTAGGTTATTGAGTTGAAATCAAAGTATTTATTATTATATATGACTCGAGTTCACTGAACCGCTACAATTATGGCAAACAATATTTCATGCAAATTATATAAAATAAACGCAAGTAAATTATTAACAAAATTTTGAGGAAAAAGCTATTAAACTTTTAGTGAAGGTCGAAAAAGTTGTAATTTTAAAGTGGCTAAAAATATTAAATATGGCGCATATATATGTAAGTCAACAAGCTCGTGTGCGGAAAAAATGTCACAGGTGTTGTGAAGTAGGTGAAGCACATAATAGGCAAGGAAGAAATAAAAACTTCCGCTAAATACAATATATTGAGTTATAAATAAAGGAAATAAAATATAAAAAAATAAATAAATTAAATGTAGGAAAATAAAATAAAATAAAAAATTAAGAATTTATTTTTAAATAGAAAATAATATTGAAAAATAGAATAAAACAAGCAAAAAAATATTATAACATCAAATAAAGTCATATAAAGTAAAATAATAGAGGTTAAATTAAATTTAATTTAATTCGAAAAAGAAAACAAATAAGTTAAAAGGAAAATAAAATAAAAAAATTTCAAATGAAAAAATTTAACTTGAAACTTAATATAATGCAAATAAAATTAAACATTTTGAATTATATATTACATTATATAGTAAAAAAAAAAATAAATAAAAAAAATTTAAGAGGAAATTAAATAAATCAAAATCTTTAAAAAAAAAATTAAATAAAATGAAATATTTATAACATTAAATTAAATAAAAATAAAATATATTTTAAATATATTAAAAAATAGTTATATTTCATCTAACAATATTAAAAAAACCAACAACAAAAAATTTGAGCTAAATGAGATTAAATAAAATGGTACAAAATAAGACATACTAAAATGAAAAATTAGAATAAAATGAGGTAAAATAAATTCTAAAAATATAAAATAATAATATTAATAATATTTAATAAGAAAATAAGTAAAAAATAAAAATCAAATAATTTAAAACATCTTAAACTAAAATTTATTACAATAAATTATAAATTTTAAATTTTTATTTATTATAAAATAAAGCGATTTAAAATCAATTAAAAAAAGTTTAATAGTAAAACAAGAAATATAAAAAATAATAAGATATAATTATATAAAATATAATAAAAATTAAATAAATACGAGCAAAATGATTTAAATAACTTTAAATTTAATTAAATTAAATTACACAGAATAAAGTAAAATGCAATTAAATAAAGGTAAAATAATTAAAAATAATTAATTAAAAACTAATAATTAAAAATAGAAATAAAAAATACTAAAAGAAAATAAATGAAATAAAAAGTACAATAATATAAGATAACTTAAGTTAAATTAAATAAAATAATACGAAAATAAAATTACAAAAAAAAAAATAAAAAAAATAGAACACAATAATTTAAAACGAAATAAAATAAAATAAATTTAAAAAAAATAAAGAAAAATAAATTAAAACAAAATAAAATAGAATTATAAACAAATTAATTAAAATAAAAATTAAATGTAATAAAATGGAATAATAGAATAAAATAATATAAAATGAAATAAAATAAACTAAAACAAAATGAAAAAATAAATTAAAATAAAAAATATATTGAAAATAAAAAAATAAAAAAATAAGGCAAATGAAAATTTAGATAAATAACAACGATTAATATAAATCAAGTACGAAAATAAAAAATGGATGAGACAACATAAAATAAAATTTAATACATTAAAATAATTAAATAAAAATTTAAATAAAACAAGAAATAAAGCAAAAATGACATAAAATGTAATAGAGAAAAATTAATTTAAAAAAAGACAAAAAGAAAGTAAAATAAATTAAATCAAAGTAAATAAAATTACTTTAAATAAAAAATGTAAAAATTAAATAAAATAAAATAAAAATTTTAATAAATAAAATAAAAATTAATATATAATAAAAATCAAAAAAAAATTCCTTCCCATACCGGGAATCGAACCCGGGCCTTCTGGGTGAAAGCCAGATATCCTAGCCACTAGACCATATGGGATATATTCTACTGCTGTGCAAAGTGAGTATTTAAGCACAGTCAAACTGTTTGCACTCAGGGTTGTTACACCAAGCAAAGCCACAGAGAACGAATATGTACTCAAAAGAGATTTACTAAAAATAACAGCAAACGCTCTTATTATTGAGCAACGCGCTCTTTTACTGTGCTCGCTGAAATCAAGTCTTTTATGAGGTAAATGAATAATTGGGAAAGTAGATTTTTCGGTTTTGCGATTTTGCGATTGAAACAGTAAATGAATAAATCAAAATAAATTATTTAACATATGTACATATATATTAATGGAATATTGAAAGCAAGATTAATTATGAAAGGATGTCTTATTCTTTATCTTAACAATCGCAAACACTACTATAGCTAAACTGGTAAAAAAAAACATGCCAGAGAAGACACAAAATGCGAAATTAAATCACTCCCAACTCTCCAACGGATTTTCCACCTTCTTCACATCGATTTTCGTCATCGTCTGTACAGAGAACGTAAATCACGATATATGTATGTACATATATATAATATCACATATAACAACCAAGAACCTTAAAAAGTCGGCACATGACCAGCTACGCTGGTTAACTCAAGTTGTCTGGTTGGATGAAAACACGCCAGCACTCAAAGCATTCGATACAGTACGCGCTGATGGAAGCAAAGGTTTCGAATGACCTTTATTTCGCTGAATCACGTCAAGAAGGGCCTTCACTTGGCGTGCCCGATCGTTGCCAAACGGCTGAAAGAAGAAATAACTGACCCGCTATTGTTCGTTCGACTGTAACCGCATTTGCGGCGCCTATGCCGACGAGCAAAAAGAACCTCTCACAGGCTTGTAGCCGGAAACTATTTGCTCGCATTTCAACTTCTGTCGATCATAGTTACTTGGAGGATGATGAGGAAGCCCAACTTCCTTGTGTGGGAGAACATAAAAAGCTACAACTAAATTTGAAGTACTCAGTGCATACATAAGGCGCCACCTTAGTTAGTTGGTTAATAAGGAAACTCAAAAACTTTTAAGCCTGTTTGCCCATTTAATTTGCTCTATAAATACACGGAATATCAAACCGTAATTAGGTAGGGCAGTACTACACCGACTCCTCCTCGTCTGTGTCTTTGCTGCTGTGATTGAAGTCCTTAGAGTAGTAACTTATCTTTCTACTTTGTGTGCTCATCAGATAGCGTCTGGCTTTTATGCCGTTTGTTAAGGTCTTGGAGGTCTAGAAGAAGCATGGAATTTCTTCTCTTTTCTTCGGCCGGCTCTGTCAAGTTACTCTTCTTACTTCAGATATTTGTTGGTCATGGACGATCTTAGCAGGTATTTGACAGAGGAAAGAGTATCGCTACATCGTCTGCAGAGTTTACGTAGTAAGGCGCAATTTCCTGGCATATTTCTCTGATCGGACTGCGTTGACCAGATTTAATGACAACTAAATTGCGGTTAGTTTTGCTTGAAAAAGGCTGCAGTAGTCAGGAAGGCTCTCGCACATGCCATTTTGCAACTGGTCCCGATTGCGTTGTATTTTGTGTCGTCAGTGAAGATCGCTGCGGAATCTTAATGCAGAACTGTTACAGAACAGAACTACTTTTCTTTTTGGGATTCTTGCTGAGAAAGTTTTAAAAAGCAAGTTGTGTAGTGCATCTCTTCCAATAATGGTGTAGAATTCAATATTTGAGCAAGCCCTATGCGGATTACCTATGGTTGAGTTCGATTTAATCTTATGGCGTTATAATTCTTATATAATTCTCCATATGTACATATAGAATTGATGGGAGAATATTAAGGAAGAGAGGTTTTAAGGGCTTTAAAGTCTCTATAAGGTGAAAGAGCTTCCAAAATAGATGAGACTTAACTCAAAGCTAGTAGAAAAGCATGTGAAGTGTAGTAATAAAAAAAAATATTTGACGTGTGATCACTCAAACCTCGTATGTATATGAGCGTGAATGTATAATAGTAAAATTTTTAAACTTAAATGTCATAACATTAAAATTTTATATTAAAAGTACTCAACACCTTTTATTTACATTTTTACTTCCATTTACCGCGCAACATTAAACTGGAAACCTCAAACGTGTATACTCGCCAACAATGCTGGAATCCCTTAAATAACTACACGTGCTACACTCCAACCAACACCAACAACAACAACAACAACAACAGATTCTCTCCACCTGCGCTGTTTTGGTGCTCTCTGCCGCCTGTGGCATGCCCATCGGCTATTCGGCGGTACTTTTGCCACAATTATCGGATGTGAATTCGACCACAGCGGAGATTGCGATTGATGTTGAAATGGGCTCATGGATTGGTGAGTAATTAAGATATAAAGGGTGTTTTTTTTTGTTTAACTGAATAAGCATTAATATCGTGGTCAAGCATTGAGCTTTTTTATAAAAAAAAAAAGGTTTGTCATTATGATTTAAATATGATTCCGGCTTCGGCTGGCTTGTACGAATTCCAGTAGAGAGACCCAGTTTCCAACCACTTTTTGCACTATTTGTGGCCATACGCTAGCGATAACGATCTGAATCTTCTCTGCCGAGACGTCAACCGTCTCGGGTTTATCTCCGTAGATAAGCGACTCTAAATAACCCCACCAAAAAAAAAAAATCAACGGGGTTAAATTCCACGGTCTTGGGTGCCACAACACAGGCCCAGGACGCGAATTAATGCGCTCACCAAACGTCTCCTTCAATACATGGCTTGTAGCGCCGTTTTGTTTGAAACCAAAGGTCGTCCATATCAACGCCCTTCAAATCGGACACGAAAAAGTCATTAATCACGGCTCCATCACGTCCGCCATTGACGGTAACATTATGGCCATCTTTTTTTGGCTATTAACGCATCCATTCAACCAAAAGTGAGCCACACCACTGCACAGAAATTCCGTGGGCTATTGGACTCGATGGCCACCTTGTGCTTGATGATCCTTTGGCATCACGAGTTGGATTTTGTAAGTCGCCTAACCAAGATCCTTTGGTACAATCTTACATTAAGTGGATGGACAGTGCTCATTCAAGTCTTCTTCGACTCTCTTCTCTAAAGCAGCAATAACTTCTTCGGAGCGCACTGTACGACGGTGTCTCTGAGGATGTGCATCATCCTCTAGAGTAAATTTGGTGCGAAACTGATCCATGTTTGCTGGAATAACCGACTCTGCTGGGCGCGTATCTTGACCGAATATTGAGTACAGTATTGTCGTATTGAAAACCACACGTCTAAAAAAACACCTTTCACACACAAATACACACTCATATTGTTATGTGGAAAGAAATTTGCAAGCATTGAAGTTCTTGAATAAATATTTTTATTATTAACTTTTATTTTTCTCTCACTTCTTTCTCATCCCACAGCGAGTGTTCACAGTTTGGCCACACCGGTCGGCTCGCTGATTTCTGGTTCTTTGGCAGATTTTGTGGGTCGTCGTTCTACTTTGTTGCTTTCAATCATACCACTTTGTTTGGGCTGGTTTACGCTGGCGTTAACTCAATCATTTCCCGTTATCATAGTGGGACGTTTACTTTGCGGCTTTTCTACCGGCTTACTTGGTGGACCCGGACAGGTGAGTAAAATAATTTAGTGGCAAGGCAGGTCTTGGGTAATTCCAAAAGAAGTGAAGTAGTTTTTGGGTTGAAAGCTCTCTCCTGTACTCTCATTGAGAGTGTGCATCGAATTTTAGAGCCCCTTTAATAATACAGGGTGATTCATATATACTTAATATGGGGTAGCAAATTATATTTCTTCATTTTCATCTTCACGGCGTACAAGCTTGCAAGGTAGAGCATTTCCCTTCCACTTTCGTTTTCATGAAAGAGTATAGACATATCGCTTTCCACATCTTCGTTCACATTAAGTGAGTTGTGCCACACATTGGTTATCACAATGTTTCCGTTGTTAAGTCTAAATGAGCTGATACCCAGCAGTCAATTCAACATACAATGTCTAAAATGGTCTACACTTCCGTTGATCTGATCCAACTCGCGGTAATGCGCCGTCGCACACAGCACTCATTCTTCGTGACCATTTCACTAAAAATTCCACGAATATCGTTCCCCAACCAACGTATTCGCCGGACTTAGCACCATGTGACTTCTGGCTCTTCCAAAAACTCAAGAGGATACTTCGAGGACACCGTTTTAAATCGATTGAGGAAATTAAGCGTTAATCGGTGCGCTCTCTGAAGACCATAACATCTCTTTATGAAATCTATTCATTGGTCTGTTTGGTCTCATTTTACACAGAAGCTTCGTCGACGACAGCCAAAGAACTGTGGTCTTAAAAAGTATAGAAAGAGGCAACTTTCTCTCTCTCCCCCTTTCTGTGTTTATCTAAAACATGGGTTAGCTTAGTGTTTGGCTAGACGCTAGCATTGGCACCCTTAGGCCACAATAGATCAACCACGAAACCAGGAAAAAATTACTATTGCTTTAAGGCTGCTGTTCCATCTACTTAGACTCTTTAAAGAATTTTACTGGACCGGTGAATTAAGTTTCTTGCACAAAGCAAAGGCTATCCATAAAACCTATTTGAAAATTCCGAGCTCTACGCCTACTTGTGTAGAGCAGGGCAGCCAAATAATAGGTGGAAAAATCATTTCTACCGCTTGGTCATTCCTTCAATAGGTGTATCATCGTCTGAAATGAATTTCTAGTCTTACTACATAGCTTCCTATACAGCAATATTCCGTCAGGATCCCAATTAATTTTGCCATGCCTTTATTTTTCAGAAAATATAAGCCATACGACCATCGCCGATCTCGTTTCATACTAATTAGCCTAGACTTGCGAAAGGTCAAGCTTTGTTCCATGGAGGAGCTTGCAATATATTCTCCATGGGGAACCTATCCTAACAAACTCGTCAGCCGGCTCTGAACCTAAATAAGGGATAGTCTGTTTCGTTCAGCCCCCTCCTGCAGATATCTGCAACATACCAGTACAATTTTGGAGTTTTCAAGGATCTAGTCTAGTGATTTTATTGCTACCTGCATATCGCTGAAGATGTCTCTTACTGCGTATACGTTTCCAATATGTTTAAAAGCTTTCATGACGGCTTCAATGAGAGTTCCAAGGAAAGGTTATGCGAAGAAAACACTTCTTTTCATACTACCTACGAGTTTTCAACCATCTGTTCATATCACAAGGTTACCGACTAGAGTTTCAAACACATTCACCCATTCTTTGCTGTCGGGTATCGGTATTTTAAAGTTAGAGCGAGTATCCAAATTAGAATCCGATCAAACCGTAGATAGTTCCAATGTTTCTGCTACAGTGCTTAACGATATTTCCCTTACGATTGCGGGTCACCATAGTATTATACTATACAAGAGTATTGGCCTCACCACATAAACGAAAATCCAGTAGCAGATTCTGGCACTTGAGACAATGGCTCTTTAACAGGCATAGAGATCGGTAGTACTATTCTCATCTATTTCTGAATTATATGCTCTTTTCAACTCAGTTTTCTTCCCAAAATGACTGCTAAAGCTCATATTTAGAATTTGTAGACTAATTGCTGGAATTTTGTAGGCTACAAGTTCCACCTTATTAGATTTAACAGTGTAGAGTCCCCAGTGATTGGACCATCGTAGAATATTCTACTAAGTATACCCTGCGTTTGATCAAATAAAATTTGTTGACACTTCCTCTGTATGCCACGACTATGTGTTGGGCTTAGACAACAGAAACTTTTCCAATAAGAAGCTCAATGAGAGTGAGTGATGGAGTTCTAGTTCTTTCATCTAAGCCGATTTGAGCCACGCAAGCTCCGGTCTCGTTGCAATGGATCTCCTTATAGCATGTTTTTAAAAAACGACCGCAATGCCATTCGGAAGGCAAGGTTTGGACCGGCATCTAAAAATTGTAGAAAATTAATTTTGCTAAATGCGATCGCCCCAGTCTGGCAATGTCTAGCCCTATGTGTGTGTTTTTTGACAAGAAATTAAAGCTGCTCATAAAACTCCATCGGCCTTTCGGAGGCAGTTTCGAATAAACTGTTTCATTATTTCTTGGAAATACCAAACCTTATACCACAATTTGGAGGAGGAGCTCGACGAAAAATCGCTTTAGCGTTTGCAAATAGCCAATTATATTATGTTTCTAAGACTTTTTGCAGAGTATTGGGACCGAGCTTAGTGTGACTCAATATTATTTTCGCTTCAAAAACGAATCGTCAGGCAATGAAAGGCAGTCTCTGTCTGCGCATTTCCCTCAGCCTCTTTGCAATCCTTTCAAGCATGACATAAGAAGGTGTAAAGTGATTGGAGGAAGAAAAAAATTATTTATAGAGCGACTAAAAGTGGGTTCTTTTCCTTTACAAAAATAGTGAAACTTATTTCTAACACTAGAAATTCCTCAAAAATTAATCATTTATTTAAAAAACAAACAAAACACTCGAGCGTTGTTTCTAGAAAACCTTCAAATTCTAGTGGAATCCACTCAAGCTCGATTTACATACATACAGAACGGCACACAAAATGACGTTGTCCATCCAAATTGGAAAATAACATCCATCTAACGCATAAAAATCATTATCAATGCTACTTTTAGTCACCCAAAAAAAAAAAAAAACAAAAAAAAAACGTCAAGCCAAAATAATATGGGTCATTCACACGAGTCGATTACTGAAACTATTTTAGTTAAATGATGGCCTTGTGTGACACAGTGACACAGTCAGTGAATGGAGAGCGATATATACTCGTATATATGTATAATGAGATAGTTTCCTCTAACGGTAACATAGTCAAGAGCAGGGTGGAATGAGGAGTATGGTTCTTTCGTTGGAATTTTTGGTAAACAATATTTCGTTACAAATAAAATTCTCAAACAAAGAGAGTCGAGAATATTTAAGTGCTCATTACTACTTGCCTTGAACTCGCTCCGCTCATGGGTTCAAGAACGGGCTTATTCATTTTTGTGGTAATTATTTTATAAATGAAATTGAGTTGCCTTCAAGTGGACTTCCCTACTCGCTTACAAATCCAATTAGAGCTAGATGAGCGCACGAAGATCAGCGCGTCTTTTTGTGTGATTTCAATGCAAACTAATAAAATAAATAAAATAAATAAATTTATGCTCTACTGGTATGAGCACCAAAGCCGGTTATTTCCGTCAACAAATAATCAGATATTCAAGCTCATCAAAACAATTCAAACAAAACAATTTTGCTTTTACTTTATTTTTTTTCATTTTTTTTTTTTTGAAAAGTAAATCTTATTTGCTCAATCACACATGCTCTCGAGACACTCACTCTCTCGCTCAGCACAGTTGGTTTGTTTGTTTGTTTGGATGGGTTTGACAGCGAAATTAACGCGTAAATTTCACTTTATCTGTCAACTCATAGAAATTGCTAAGTTCGTAATCAGTCGTTCGCTTCTTATATAGATACGACCCTGGGGTGTCAACGGCTTTTATCGCACGATAACAGACGATATATCATAAGCCGTGCAAAGACTACGTGCACATACATATTTGCATATAAATATATGGATTATTATGTTGGCGCATGGATAATTTTAATTCACCCACAGTTCCGGAATCTTGACCTCAGACTATAGTTTAGCTGCGGCTTAAATTGGGTGGTTGTGATGACGAGGAGAAATACAGAGAGAATATTTATGCAAAGATAACGAGATATATTTACATATATATATAAATATATAAGTGGATAAGTTTATACACGGCGGTGAAATTAAATATATTTTATTTAAAAAAATGCATTTTATTACGAAAAAATTATTTTTATTAAAGAAAAGCGGATTTTAATATTAAAAAATGGAAGTTTCATAAAGAAAAATGTGGATTATGATAAATAAAAGTGGTTGGCAATATTCAAAAAGAAGAATATTTAAGGAAAATAATTTTTATTAAAGAAAAGTGGTCTTTAATATTTAAAAAAGACAAATGTTATAAAGAAAAAGGTGGTTTTTAATATTAAAAAAGGAAGCATATTTAAGAAACGTGATTTTCATTAAAGAAAAGTGCATTTTATTGTAACAAACGGGCTAATTTTATTTTAAAAAGTTTAATTTTATTTCAAAGAGTTTATTTTTATTTCAAAATAAGTGAAATTAAGTAACAAAAATTATATAATTTTGAAAATAATTTGAGAAAAAGTAAACTTTTTTCCAAGAAACTGCACCTTGTTTCAAAAAATGTGGCTTTATTTAAAAAAAAAAAGTAGAAATTTCATTAAATATATATATTTAATTGAAAAAAAGTTAGTTCTGTTAATGGAAAATTTAAAAAATTTAATTTTGTTAAAGAAAAACACTATTTTTTTTTTTATTGAAAAAGTTGTTTACTTTTTTAATGTAAAACATTTTCCTAAATGAACTTTTTTTGCGATAAAATGAAATGAAGTTGATAAATAAAATTCACTTTTTTAATAAAATCCACTGTTTTTAATAAAATGTACTTTTTTCTTTATCGAAATTAAACTTTCTTTTATTAACTTTTTTAACTTTTTCCGGGCAAAAAAAAAGTTTCAAAAAATGTCAGTTTATTATAAAAAAAGCGGTAAATAAACTAAATTTTTTTGAAACGAGGTACATCTTTTTTACCTACAGAGAAAATAAATTTTTTGAAAAAAAAAGTTAATTTTATTGAAAAAAAAATTAATTCTATTGAAGGCAGAGTAAATATTGTTGAATTTAAAGCTTGTTCAAGAAAAGTTTACTAAATTTAAAGAAGTTCAGTTTTTATCAAATAGAAAAAATATTCTATGAAAGAAAAGTAGATTTTAGAAAAAAAAATTAAAGTTTATTTAAGGAATAGCGAATTATCTTAAAGGAATAAATTTCATTACCTCGAAAATAAATTGTTTAAAGAAAACATTAATGTCATTGAAACAAATTCGATTGATGATAAAGTGAATTTTGTTAAAAGAAACGTGAAGTTTATTTAAGGAAAAGTGAACTAAAAAACAAAAAAAATTATTTATTATTAAACAGGCAGTAAATTTTATCGAAGGTAAGGTTGATTTTTATTACAAAAGAAATTCCTGATGAAGTAAAAAGTTAATTTTATTAAAAAGGAAATTTCTTTTGAAGGAAAAGTTAGTTATATTAAAAAAGGGATTTCTTTTGAAAAAAGTTACAGAAAGTTAAATTTTACTTAAGCAAAAGTATATTTTATTGAAGAAAAATTTAACTTGATTAATTTAAATAAAATTTAGTTTTATTGAAAAAATTAAAATTTTATTTAAATTACTATATTATTTTATTTGATAAAAGTTAAATTTATTAATGAAAAAATATATATTAAAATTTAATAAAAATTTTACTTAAACAAAAGTATATTTTATTGAAGAAAAATTTAACTTTATTAATTTAATTAAAATTTATTTTTATTGATAAAATTAAAATTTTATTTAAATTACTATATTATTTTATTTGATAAAAGTTAAATTTGTTAATGAAAAAAAAATATATTAAATTTTAATAAAAAAAATTATTTAAAAAGCCGAAATTTTTTTTGGAAAGGAAAACTTTCTTTTCAAAAGAGGGAACTTTATTAAGGGATAGGTGAACTTCATTTGAATATAAAATACGATCAATCTACCTAAAAAGTCAAATTTATTTAAACAAATTTAATTAGAATCCGGTTTTTTTTAAGAAAAGTAAACTTTATTAAAGAAAGAATAAGTTTTATTAACCAACAAAAAAAAATTTGTCAAAAAAGTTAATTTATTAATCAAAAAGAAAACTTTTCTGCCGAAAAAGGAAATTATTGCCAGAAAGAGTTGGAAAAAAATTTAAAATTATTGCTATTGTATAAAAAGCGAATCTTATTGGAAAGAAAGGCTGTCAATTCAATTTATACAAAAGTTAATCCTAATAATATTAGTATACAATTTTATAAAAAAAAGAAACTTTCTTTAAGGAGAACTTAAACTTGATTAAGGTAGTGAAGAAAAATATTATTTTATTTAAAAAAGTGAAATTTTATTAGAAGAAAGTTAAGTTTATTAATGAAAACATAGCATTAATTTAAGAAAAAAGTATATTTTATTTAAAAAAATTTTAAGTGCATAATATTATAGAAAAAGTTAATTTTTTTTCACAAAAATTTATTACCATTACAGAAAATTAAAATTATATTTATAAAAAAGTCAGTTCTAGTAATAAAAGTAATTTATTTAAAAAAAAGTGTATGTAATTAATGAAAATGTAAATTCTTTTGAAGAAAAGATAATTTTATTGAAAAAAGTGAGTTTTTGTTACAAGAAGGATAACTTTATTACAGAAAAATAAAAAAATAAACTTTTATTAAACAAAAATGCAAGTAAAAAGCCAATTACAGTGATTTTCTATACGTAAAAAGTGATTTTCACATATATGAAAATAAATTTTATTAATAGCCCTCTAGTATGTGGGGCAAAAAAAAGCGCAATTTGCTACATCATTCCCTGGCGCTGATCTTTGTCATGTAGCCCAAATGCATGACTTTCTTTTTTATTGTTGTAAAATTACATTGTTTACACACTAAACGCTGAAACGTTCATTTACACTTTGTTGGCTTAATTTGTGACCCTGCAAGCCTATTAAAAATTATTATTATGCGTAGGTGCTGTTTACAAACATATATACCCAGACAATTTCACGCTTCACCTTTGAGTTAATCAACTCTATATTTCATCTGTCCACTCAAAGCTATTGTGATTCACTGTGTGTATGCGGAACTGTTGAGTAAGCGCCTTTTCCGTGTGCGACTGGGGTGGAAGAAAGCATTTGGCCCTTTCTCTCTTTCTGGAGCCCTCTGTGCTCTTCTTTTGTATCTAACTTCTTTTCAAGCCTTCTCAGTAGATCCTTACTGCAGGTTCGGGAGTCGAATGGTGTTTATAAGGTTTACTTTTGGGTAATTCCTTGTAGGTTTGATGGCTTTTGAACGAACAGAACTGCTAAACAGACGATGTAAAAACTTCCGAGGAAACGATCTCTAACCGCATTGAGAACTGAGCAGTTACAGAGTTGGTGCTTTACTAACTCTTCAACTTCTATGCCTCTGCAGAAGCGACATAGATCATTAGAGAAATAGCCGATCCCATCCACTGTGAACTTACACTAATGACTGCCCATCCGTTGAAGGGGGTAAGATAATCAACCTCTCCCAAAAATGTAATAGAGTTTTGTATTTGGGTGTATGCTCTCTCCAGAGATCTAGTGGCGTCTCAGATTGCTTGTTTTTATTTCAAAAATTCTTCTACGATCTCACAAAAAGATAATTTTCCACTTCATTATTGACCCTAGGGGTCTTAGACTTCAGTAAGAAGATTTTTCATGTGATATTTACTGTGTATGTTCCCAAACCCTTACTAATATACTCGTATATTCTTTTTCTATCCTTCCAGGTTTACATCGCTGAAACCGCCGAGCCCAATCTACGCAGTATACTTATCGGCGCACCATATGTCTCCTACTCATTGGGCATACTCATCGTTTATTCGCTCGGTTCGGCATTACATTGGCGGCACGTGGCCTGGTGCGCCTGCATATTACCCGTCTGTGCGGCGCTTGCACTCTTCTTCATACCCGAAACGCCTGCTTGGCTGTTGCGTAACAATAAACACGCCAAGGCGCTGAAAGCGCTCACCTTTCTGCGTGGCAGCGAGATAATTGCACATAAAGAAATGAACGATATGAAGGAACGTTTGAACAAAGAACGCGCTACAACGCGCACCAATGAGAACATCTTCCAGCTATGCACCGAACGTTGTGCGATGAAACCGCTCCTTATTGTCATCACCTTTTCGCTATTGCAAATGTTATCGGGCTCATTCATAGTCATCTTCTACGCCATCGATATTATAGCTGATTTTGGCGCTGATATCGATACAAAATCGGCTGCCATTTGGACAGCGGCTGTGCGCATGTTGTGTTCGCTCGTTTTCTGTGTTATACTACTATTCGTGCGACGCCGTCGCATCTTAGCGATATCGAGTATCGGTTCGGGTCTCAGTTGTTTAGTGTTGAGTGTGTATATGTATGCGCGTATGGGAATGCCGAAGAGTGGCACAGATGTGCTCATCTCAGCAGGCTGTCTCTTCGCTTACATTACCTTCAACACAGCCATTATGGTAATGCCGGGCATTATGATCGGTGAACTCTTCCCAGCGCGTATACGTGGACGTACGGCGGGTGGTGTTTTCGCCGCCATGAATGTGGGTCTCTTCGGTCTGACGAAAATCTTTCCACTCGTGCAATCGATTATAAAGATGCGTGGCATTTTTATGGTTTTTGCGATCTCTAGTTTTATGGTCACCGTTTTCATGGGTCTCTTTCAGCCGGAGACGAAGGGACGTTCGTTGGATCAAATCGAAGATTACTTCAATGAGAATAACTGGTTGTGGTTCAAACGGGACAAGCGCTACAAGCAGATAGCTTTGGCTGAGAAAACAGCCAAGGCGGCCTTAAAGGCTGAGATGCGCGCTTAAGCCTTGGGAGGTGGGGATGTTGGAAAGACATTTTGTTATAAAAATAAAATAATATAAGAAAAAATAATAATTTTGTCAAGTAATTATGTAAAATATTGTGAGAAACTCACTAAGAATCTAAATGTGATTGAATAAAACATCTTCTGGAAAATTTTTTTATTAGACCGTTAGTAGACACGAGCCAGTGGAAATGTTATAAAAAAAAATATTTTTTAAAAGCCAAAAGCTATGAAAAGTGTCTTGAATTTATTGAAAATTTATTCTCAAAATGTATAAAAAGAAAACTTTTTAAATTAAGTTAGTTTATAAGTCGCTCAATTACCTCGTAAAAATTGCTTTACAGTTAGTACTAACTCGTTATATAATACAATATATATATTAAGTTACTCTGAGTACTTCCTTAGTTAGAAAAAATAACTAAAATAAATAAGAAATAAAAAAAACTTTCCTTATTAAAATAGTTTGTTTAGGACTAAAAGTTTATTATGAAATAAATGAAAAATAAAAAAAAATTATAAAAAATATATATTTTTTTATTTACTAGCAGACTCGACCAAAAGTTGTAGCTCTGTATTTTGCCTAATTTTGTATTCCACCCTGTCGAATGGCAGTGAAAGTGCAGCACCTGGAGATGGCGAACCTGAGACCCCTACCGATGATGATGGAAAAAAAACGTTCCATTACCCGTCTACGCCTAGTTTCGAAAAGCGGTGAACCCTTCAAGCGTCAACAAAGCGACTGTCGCCGATGGCTTACCGGTCGAGCTATTAAAACACAGCGGTTAAGAGTTGACGAGGTGCATACACCAGCTGATTTGCAAAATATGGTCAGACGAAAGCAAGCCAGACGTTGGGAATGTGAGTGTGCTGTGTCCAATCTATAAAAAAACAATGCCTCCCATGAACTCCGGTCTCTAAATATCGCAGATAAGGCCTTAACGAGCGTATTGTGTGAAGAAAAGTAAAGTCCAGTGTCAAACACTAACTGGATCTTATCAATGTGGCTTCACGGAGGTAGACTGCTAATCTGAACAATTTTTTAGGATAAGCCGGTCCGTCTTAAAAAATTATAGGTCCTTCTAAATATTGAAAAAATATCAAGACGTACGCCACGCTTATAAAATGTCAATTGAGTAGGTAGTAGGCGACTATACCTTCTACAGGCAATGTCTATTTCTTCGTTTTTACTCCTGACATGAAATAAAGGGCTCTTCTTCATCAGAACTACGAAAGGAGCTTAAATATTTATGGCTCCTTCATCTAGTTGGAGACACATTAAGACAGCCACAGCATAGTAGACGGAGAGACTCGACCAAAATTCGTTTGCAACAACAAATGTATAGCTTAAGTTACATGAAAATCCCACTTCTAACACTTTTACAGTATCAATAATTTTCATTTTGGGAAGCGCTTGGAACTTCCGCAACCGCCGCAGTCCAATTTTAGTCAGAAGGATCCTGCCATCATGCGCGCTGAAGTGCGAGTAGAGCTATTAAACATCCTACTGTTCATACGGAGGCAGAGGAAAAATGCCTTATCCAACAGCAACAGAACCGTAATACCCATCAACTACAAGTTCATGAAGTTATTTTCCTTAGGTAATTCTGCCCCATCCAGGCCTCCATTGAAGGAATTATGGTGGAGAAGGAGCCATCTGGTACCATCTGAGAGATGCAGCAAACTGTGCAGCGAGGAATGAAGTAGAGCCTCTTAATAACAAAGAAATTCTAGCTCTACTGCCTTAATCCAACCACAACTTCAGTGACATTAAATGTGCTAACAAAATCGATTCAAATATTTAAGACACATTACACCAAGTACCGAGGTTTTAGTGCAAAAGAGAGCCGCATGATTGATACATATCAGCTGTTTTGCCAAATAAATTCTCTCTAGGGATTTTCATACTCAAAGCCATCCCTGCAGCAACATAAAACAACCGTTGTTACTTTCTAGGATTTTTAAGAAATATTTCAACTTATAGGGCAACTGAAAGTCAAGGTGCGTTTTCCCGAATAACTTCTCACCATCGGAAAGATAGATAGACAAACTCTTCATGGCAAAAGCAATGCCATGAATATAAGCGCGGGAGTTGAGTCTGGTTGTTTTGTCCCTTGCGCAGGTCTAGCACAAAGACTCACCGATAAAGATGAAGTCTGTTTATAGCTTAGAACTCGCAAAGACAGAGCGTCGTCCACATAGGCTGTGATCATAGCAGCTTCGCTTTCCATTTTTATGAGCAATTTATTGATCGTAAAAGTCCAAAGTAGAGGTGACAACACTCCCGCCTGTGGAGTTGTCATTTGCGCATCTCGCGGTGGATACTCCGTCTTACCTACTTTGGAAATGAATACTATTCTAGGCGGTCTATTGTTAATAGCAATAGATACGCTTTAATAGAAAATTATTCGAAACAGGGCGGTCGCATCATCATTTGTTTGGGAAAGAAACTGGTGCTACAGTTGAGCAGACGATGTTTTGAGCTACAACTACAGTTCATTCATGGAGGTTTATTTTCATTTTTCCTCTTATAAAACACAGAGTCCGTTTTCCTTACAAGAAACCGCCGCCGTCTTCAAGTGTACGCCCATAAAACATAGCACGAATCCCAATGCACAACCGAAGCCAATTCGCTTTTCAATAAAAATTGCATACTTGCTTTGGAGACTTTTTCAGTTTCCTTATATATACTACATACATACGAAGTCAAGATGTTTTTGAAAATTGACGTTGATATTTCAATGTGAAAAATTTTGTTTTTAGGAAATTGTTTGTTCAAAATTTTAATATTTAAGTGTTTAAAAGTCCAAATTTTACGTTTTCCCCACAATGAGTGTGACGAGTTTGAGTTCGCAAACTTTGCGAAATAGAAAATTCAAATTGAAATTAGCAAAATTTTTAAAGGATAAAGACATACCACAATGGTATCGAGCTTTTTCCACATTCCAGCTCAATGCAATGGATAAACTGATGTCAGCAATACGCGACGATGTCGAACAGGACACATCACATCGGGTGCGTTACTGCTTAAGCGTGCTAGGCTTGCAGCCGTTACTCGGCAATAAAGGCTTGAGAATGATGATGCATTTGAGTGGTGGCAATGATTTGGCCTTTCTCTGGTTCCTCATGGAGTTCCACTACAAGACACCCGACGAGAATGATTATAGTCTCAATGAACAGTTAATCATTTCCGCCATTGCACACTTGGATATGATAACAACATTACGTGGATTAGATAGCATATTACCACAGGGTCATAGAGCCAGACGTCCGTATCGTGAACTCAAACGTAAATACAAAGCTAAACAAGAAAGTGCAAAATTTATGAAATTCGAGAAGAATGGCAAACTTCAGCCGTATTTTGAAAAATTAGAGAGACCCATACAGATTGCCGTAACGAATAAATTGAAGAGACCCGATTTTAAGGTGAGATTTCGTGCATATGAAAAATACAAGGATCCACACTACGAACCGCCCAATGAGAAGAATCGTTGGTTCGCCATGTATACGTTTCGTGAATCTGTACGGATACCGGTGGCGGAGCTTCGACTCTACTTTGATGGTTTCTTTCAAAATATTGTCAATGAAAATAGAAGCGGAGAAAAGACGGCACTAACCATCATTGACTCGGCAATAAAAAATTTAAATTTATCTCGAAAAGAAAAGAGCGTGTGCATTCATCATCAAAGAGAGGCGGAAAATATGAACGCGCAAAGAGCAATGAAACAGGTGCAGGAGAAAGAGAAATGTTTAGCGCGATTGGAGTTGTTTCGAAAGCAAAAACAGGTTTGAATTAATTCTTTCATACAGAGAAGCGGTTGTTGGATTATGGAATACCTATTATATCCTTATCAGTTCGGTAAGCTGACTGTTCTTTTTGTTGTTGTTGGGTAGGAGCGGCTAGGTAAGCAGCCAAAGTTAAACAATGTTGTCAAGTTCACATAACAGAATCCCAAGAATGTAGGTGTTTCACGGGTTCCGTCTGGAGGAAGAGGGATTCCAGATGAGAGGGTTTTACTAAGCAAGCGAAAACGTAATTAGTGTCGTGCGCGGACTCATTGCATGCAGGGTGCGTACGTCGGTAATATCGGGTCGAGTCTGTATAATTAGGAGATAAGTTAACGAGCTCAGTTACAGCGTCCGCACTTTAATTTTGCCAGCGGTAGTCGGTTCTCATGATGCACTTTGAGCCTGAGCCAATTAATGTAGATTTCGGCAGGCTTTATGTAAATGGCATTCAGGGTCTGTCGGTAGCGCTGAATGTTCTCCATAAACTCAAGTTCTTTCTTTCTCTTGTCACTGAGAACAGGTGTTTAGCAGGTGACCGCAAGGAGGATTCCGGCAGTAGCATCTCAGGGCAGCATAAGATTATTGTCCTTCACTGGGAACATGGATGTATTGCTTTGTAAACGATGTCTCGCTTAATCCCCAGTGTGCCCTCTTCCCGGTTGGAGACGAAGTGAAATAGTGTAGGCTATCGAAAATCACTCCCAGACAATTTTGTTTGTTGTCAAAATTTTTTAAATCAGCGACTTTACCACCTCATGGTATTTATAACTACATCCAGTGAAGTGGAACTGAAGTCAAAATGAAGAAGTGTCTTTCCAATTTCTTGCTGAGTGAAAGATAATACGCGGCGGCAGACACCATAAATCCAATACCACCTTTAACTTCCATTACATTACCATTGGAACTCTAAATACATGTACTCAAACCATACTCTTGCGGTAATCCCCGTCGAAGCCCGAAGATCTTATTCGACAAAAGTGACCAATCTGTGACTCTTGCGGCCATAACCGAAATATCATTCCAGAACTTGCCCAAGTTAACCAACAACTTTTATTATTAACTCTGAAATCTGCCGAGGCGAAAATTGTGCAAACCAAGATGTAGACCCATCTGAACAGTTAACCACTTTTAAGAAACTTGAATTGTGTGTCTTCCCCATGGTGTCTTAAACTCTACTTTGTGAGCTGTGAGGGTGAAGAAGAGCCTAATCGGTTCAAGAGCAATCGAAACAGCTCCCTCTCGGCAAATTGTTTATTCCTGGTATTCAGCTGCTTGTGTTATTAACTCAGGGATCTGCTCAGGTGAAGAAGTGTCAAAACCATAAACAACAACTCATTAGCTCTCCTTATGGGGTTCAAAAACTTGCTTATTAACTCTGACATCTACCGAATCAAAGGAGAATCGAAATTACGTGTAGAAGTGTAAAAGCCGCTGCTATTTTACGTAAGCCTTGGCCCACGAATCGTCATTTTGCAGTCCAACAACTCGTATTCTGAGATCTATTGAAAATAGGAGATTCAAATAATTTCATAAAAACAAATTATTCTGCACTTCACAGGCAAGGTTGAGTCGCATACACGAAACACTAGAGAGGGAAGTCAATGCGTATCGTGCGTTGTACAAAGAGAAAGAGAAAACAAAATATGGCAAGCAATACTTAAGTATGCTCAGCAATGAACAATATAATGAATATTCAATAGAAGAGAATGCGCAAAGCTGTATTACGCCACCCTCTTCCTCGGACGAATCAACGCATACCGTGCAAGCAATGCCAAGCGCCACGTACAAACTACAAAGCAAAAAGGAAACTACACGCATACGAGGCGGCGTTGACTACACACGAGAAGCATCCATAACATTCCTACCCACACCACAGGAAAACAGCTCTACTCTCAATGCTGAAGATCGAGAATATCTGCTGAATTACGATTATGGTCACTCAAAAACAGTTTCGCCCACAACATCACAATACTTCTTTACATCGCCCACACAACATCAACCATACAAATTTAACTACGATAAAATATTCAATTGTGAATATAAAGGAAATAACAGAGTGAAATTTATAAGGAAAATTTGTGCACGCACATTGCAAGATCGACAAGATGAGGAGTTGTCGCGGTGCTTCGATATGCCCACAGTGGCGGGCGTGGCAAAGCAGTATGCCGACAACTATTGGGTTGAGAAGCATGTGGAGATGCGTAAAGGCTATATTGACATACGCAAACAAATCGGTCTAACCGAAGTGGAGGATTTGAGCGCACAAGGGCATCTGCCCTCGTCGGAGGATATGCCAGCGGATATGCCCAAACTTGGCTTTTACGATTGTGAGGATAAGGAATTAATGCATCGCATGTTGAGAATTGCGCTCTCGCATTTGGCAAAGAATCCCAAGTATGTGCTCGCCTCATTGAAAGATTGCCATAAATTACCCTTTCTGCGGGAGTGGATCTATCAACGTTATGGCAAAAGGTATACACAAGCTGAGCGTATTGCTGATTTTAAACTGTCGCGTAAAATGTTAATTGGCATTAACAATTTGAAAGCGGGCGTTAGAATACCAAGGAGCTCTGATATTGCAAAGAATGCCATACTCAAGAAAAAATCCACTTGTCATAGTTATCTCAATAAAAAGGTGTACAAACCATTTGTGAATTATTCTCTTTTTTTTATTGATTTTAATTTTAATTTTTAAAATATTTTTATTTCTTTTTATTTCCCAGGTGAAAAGACTACGCAATGCTTTTTTTCAACAAACTGGTAAGGCTCACATGGAAAATGCGCGTTTAATGTGGCTCACCATGAATGATGCAATGTGTTCGATATCTCATCGTGATATCTTCTTTTCCTATATGCCACAACGTATTAAAGATTTACATTATCATAATCCATGGAGTCTCCGACAAGTACGGGATATGAAAATGCCTTGGAAAAACAGATTGAAACAACAGAGGGAGAGTGCTCAAAATAAATTCTAAACTCGCTCTTTGTTGAGAGTATAAATATTTTTGTGAGGAATAAATTTAATATTAAAATATTAACTAAGTAGTTGAGAGAAAAAAATTACTGAATATTTCAATTTTTACCGAATAGTACACATACATAAATATATATTGCTACTTTAAAGCATTAAAAGATCTAATTTCGATTTCGAAGCTTACTGTAGATGTCGCATTTTATACCTTTTATGTACATGAAACGATAAATTAACTTTGGTCCGAAGTATGTAAGTACCAGAAAGAGATGGGTGAGTAATATGAACAACTACTTGTCATCTATATCCTCGCAGAGAAATAATTTGAGAGTGATTAGTGTCTGAGATTTCATCTATATAAAGAATAAGCCGCCCTAGTACCGGAAGTCGCCCGTTTATGCCAATCGTAAGGGTTAGATGTAATGGGGTGTAATCAAGCTTCTGGGTATGCGGTTACAGTTGCACGGCTATACTCAATTCCTACTCTTGCGCCCACGTCCTGGCTGTACTTGGTATTTCGAATTGGCTCCAAACAGCAAAAAGAAGAAACGAATGGCGGTATGTTGTTAAATCTGCCAAAATCGCGTAAGCGGTGTCTGCGTCAGTAAAGTAAGTAAGTAAGGGTTAGAAGAAGTATTGGCTTTGCTCCTTTCACTTCGATTAATAACCACATCTGGTTACAATGCATAGAAATTCTTTACATCAAATGTCTACTGTTCAAGACAAATTTGAACACTTTGCCGAGGAAAGAGACTTGTTTCCCTGCCAACCAGTTCGCCGACCTGTGCCAGGAACTCAAACCACGGACATTTTGAATCTAATCGAATGTTCCTTTAAAGTTTCCCGAGATCGTATTAGAGCCCTTGGTAAAAATCGCTGTGAAACTTCGATACAAAAATATTAAATTCTCCCATTCATTACTCTTTAGGATTTTCAAGGAGTTGAGAGAGTGTAGAGAGGGGTTGAGAGGCTTTTGGTTCGGAAAGAAAAGGTCATCAACCCTATTTTGTATTTAGAAAAAATCGAGAATGAAAGGAAGGCAATATCATATACTCTAGGGAAAGTGGAAAGCAGAAAAAATGTTAAACTTTGTTTACGACAGTCCTGATAGTTAGTTCTGAACTCATAAAACACTTATTTATCATAGAGGCTCTTTCCTAATCTTTTCCCCTCAAGAAAATTTTATAGCAAGTCACAACCACAACACTTACAGCTTCGGAAGTATTCGAGTTATATCAGGCTTTAGATATATCGGAACATTAGTGCCGCATACCCCCATTACAACTTTAATTTAGAAGTTATTCCTTTTTTCGAAAAGTAAGTAAGAGCATTGTCTTAAAACAATCGGCAGTTGACAGGAGATAAGCAAATTTTTTCTTCAATAAATTTTTTCGTGCGTCTGATAATTTTCCTAAAATTTAACTATTTTTATTTAATTTTTACTTTCCGCCTTAGTTAGCAAAAAATTTGTAAATTATTAATATTTGGTTATTTTTAAAACAATTATTTTGGTATCATTCGCGAAAATTTTTCTGAAAATGCTCTTGTCTACACGAAAAGCTCAAGATTTTCTCGTGGATTATATGCAATATAGAGATGTTCCAACATGGTATCGAGGGACATCGACATTTCAAATAGCAGCAGCCGATCAGTTGGCTAACTCGATACGTGATGATGTCGCACAGGAAACATCTCATCGGGTGCGTAATTGCCTCAATCGTCTAGGTTTGTTGCCAGCAGTGCGAGATAAGGATTTAAAAATGCTCATGAGAATGAGTGGCGGCAATGATTTGGCTTTTCTATGGTTCCTAATGGAGTTGTATTATAAGACACCAGGCGAGGACTATAGTAGCCTCAATGAACAATTGATATTAACATCCATAGCACATCTTGATATGATTACAACATTACGCGAATTGGATCACATTCTACCACCGGGACACGCTTCGAAACGTCAGTTGCAAAAACGGCAACGGCAAAAGTTGCGTAATAAAAGTTGGCTAAAACCACAGAAGCCAGTGTCCAAAAAGCTGGCCAGAAAACATTCATCACCATATTTTAATAAATTAGAACGACCTGTACAATATGGCAAACCGTTGAATTTGGAGAGGCCTGATTTTAAGGTCCAATTCATTCGTTATGAAATCTATAAGGATCCAAATTACGTGCCGCCAAACGAGGAAAATCGTTGGTATGCAAAACATGTTTTTAATGAAGCGAGACGCATTTCGACTAAGACAATACGTGAAGTTATCAATAATTTATCAGATAACTTCGAATTAACCGCAAAGAATAAATCGAATACAGCTTTGCAGATCATTGATTTTGCATTGAGTGAAATGGACCTTTCGAAACATCGGGATTTGAAGGTTTTGTGTAAAAAACATCAGTTTGAAGAGCAGCAAAAGGAAATGCGAATGAAAGATTTGATGTCACAGAAAAAAGAAAAATGTTTAGAAAATCTCGATTTTGGTCGCAAAGCAAGAGAAGTATGCAATTGAATAATTGCCATTTATTGGAATATATTTCGTCCATAACTATCTATGCAGTCCGCAAAAACTTTATTAAAAAAATTATAATAATTAAGTTATGTATGTATGTTTATGTTACCTTTTCCTTTCAGAAACAACTTGAAAAGATACAAAAAATGTTGGAGACCGAAGTTGAAATGTATCGTCTGCATTATCGAAAAAAGTTAAGCGAACATAAAGGGAATCACAGTTCTGTACGTATACTCGGTAAAGAAGGTTATTGTGAGCATTTAATAGAGGATGAACGGCAAGACGACAATGGTGAAGTTCAGAATTGCTCGAAATCATCGGTAGCTTCAATACCGATTCTGAATTCACAGCACTCAAAAAAACACAGTTTACCCTCAAAAACTAGGCAGTCTCTTGAAAAAGAAGAACGAGCATTGTTGCTATTGCATAAAGGAAATAATCGTTTGTCCTTTGGTAGTAGGACTAGTGAACTTCGCCGATTTCAATCAAGCAATCCTACACCGCGTTCATCAGAGCGTTATTTCGTTGCTCCCACCGAAAATAAACCATATCGTTTTAGTTATCCAAAAATATTTCATTATGAAGATGAATATGATCAAAGAATATTTATTAAAAACACATGTGTTGAAGCATTGGATGCGGATAGAGATCAAGTACCAAAAATGGTGGATCAAACGCCGGACTTAGGTAAATTGACAGAGAAATTTGCAGATGAGACTTGGCGAAAAAATGAGGAGCAATGGAGGAAAGATAATTATAGTGACAATCCCGAAGTCGTACGTCCCGATCCCTATCCACGTGACATGCCACGTTTATCATTTTACGATTGTGAGGATAAAAAACTAATGAATGATATGTTAAAGATTGCTTTGCATGAGATGGCAAAAAATCCAAAATTTGTATTGGCCTCATTACCAGATGCCCACAAGCTGCCTATGCTACGTGAGTGGATCTATCAACGCTATGGCAAAAGATATACTCATGCACAGCGTATTCAAGAAGTAAATATGTCATTAAAAATAATGAGTGTTTTACAAAGACTAAAATTAAAATCAGAGCTTCCCTCACCACATGCAATTGCTTCAAAACATAGGCAAAACTACAAATGTCACAGTTACATTATGAAGAAGGTAAATATTTATGTTACAATTAGTAAACCAAACTTAAACTAATACAACAATCGTTATGTGTTTATAAATATTGCCTAAGCTATCCTTATACCTTAAAATTTTCTTATTATTATGGTTTTTACTTGCAGGTGAACCTAGTCAGACAGCAATACTATAATCGTCTCAATTCAGATCTTTTAACGCGCGCTCGTTACTTTTGGTTCGCGATGCGTATTGCACTATGTGCATTACCAACACGTGCAACATTTTTTGCATATTTGCCAGCAAGAACGGCAGATAATTATCTTTTTAAGCCGTGGAAACTAAACGAACGTATGGAGGCAAAGGAAGAATGGGATAAAAGACGATTTTTAAATAAACAGGAATTGTTAGGACTGTAATGAATATACAGGTTTAAGACAAATTTTATTTGTATGATAAAATTGATTTCATTTAGTTTGGGATGAATAAATTTTATAAACATAAGATTGATCTGAATACAGTCTATTATTCCACTCCTGAATTTTATGAAGTCTTTAATACTTATCACTTATCACTTTTCTTTACCATTACATATTTTGTACTTCACTTCACCTCATTTACCATGAGATTTAATGATACTCCTTTAGCAACACTAGTTAAGTACTCAAGCACTTTTACATAACAATTCATGTTTGTGCTGTCGCAATTCAAGCTTATATTCAAATGTCAATAGAAATTTCAGAATCAATAAATATTTTTTTTTCGTTTATGAATATTAAAAATTTTTCAACAACGTAAATCCAAATTAATTTTGTGTATTAATTTAGATTGTAAAAATTAAATAGTTTTTATTTGGAAAAGCGTAAAATTCTTTTTGCAACAATGTTTCTACAAAATTATGCAAAACCGACAACCAATTTTGCCGCCAGGGATATGGAGCGTCAACGAGAGTTTGTGGAAAAATATATGCGTACTGCGGATGTACCGGAATGGTATCGTGGTTTGTCATCATTTCAATTTCAAGCTGCCAAAAATTTGCACAATGCAATTCGTGATGATCTCGAACAAGGTACATCTCATCGTGTACGGGAAGTATTAAATTCGATCGGACTACGCCCACCGGTATCAAAGAAAAGACTAAGACTCCTCATGAGATTGAGTCGCGGATGTGATTTGGCATTTTTATGGTTTCTAAAAGATTTACACTATCAATCGGATGGACCGGGCTATAATACAAATGAGCAATTAATATTATCATGTATAGCTTATTTAGATATTATTTTTACCATACGTGGCCTTGATGAGATTTTACCGCCGGAACAGCCACCAAAGAAGAGGCCACACAGAATGTCAAATGAACAGAGACGACTCTCAGTTCAAAGTAAATATAAAATGTATGATAAACAAACTTATTTATCAGCGCAAAGAAAAATTGGTTCCTTTAATAAACAATACAAGTTGCCTTATCTTGAACATCAACGACGGCCAGGCCCATATGGAAAATCGCTCTCAGCATATCCGCCGGAAAATGTATTACGGCTGGATTTTTTAAATAGATACAAAGATCCCACGTATGTTATACCAAACGAATCCAATCGTTGGTTTTCCAACTATTTACCCAGCGAAGGTCGTCAAACAGCAAATACTCTTGTTAATGAAAGTTTGAATACAATTTTCAATGTAACTAAGCTTCCCAGCCAAGTCTTTGAAGCACAAATATTTAAAAACCTTAAATTATCTGGTAATGAAGGACGAAAAGCTGAAAGACAGTTATGTGAACATCATAAACTTATGGAAGAGATGGAGAAATGTTTGGAACTTGAATTGCGTGTAATAGCTCAAGAGAAGTGTCGAAAATATTTTGACGCAGACATGCCGAAAAAAGAAGTAAGTAAATTTCTTTGTTTTTAATATAGAAAATTAATACACGAAGTGCATTCTTATGAAAGCACTTACTTGTAAACCATTCTAATAAACAATTTGTTATAATCTTTCCGTAGCTACGCATCGCACGTCTACGTAAGCAAATTGAGAATGATGTGAATTTACATTTGAAGCGGTTCAGGCATTTAGGTGAAAAGTGTCGGAGTGAATTACTTTTATGGTCTAAGGAAAACTTACACGAATGTTGTTTGAACAGTGATACGAATAGTACAGGGAATGGATCATGTGATACTCTAAAATATAACAATCGAATGAAGAAAAAACCACAAAACAAATATACAAAAAGTGAAAGCCATATTGAACGCAAACATAAGAATTTTTATAATTCAGAAATGCAACTAAATACAGAGAGTGAATGCAAACTACGTGTGAAAAATTTGGAGAACTTAAGTGCACCGGAAATAATTGGTGATGGCTTTAACAATAACAAGAGGAGAGAAAAACGAAACTTTCATTGTAAAAAACAGCCATTGACAGAGAAATTTATTTCCAATAGTACTTGTGAATGCAAACCTAACGTTCATAATACTGATAGTACATATGATTATATACAAAATTACGATTACGGTCACTCGGACGCAAAAAGTGATACGAAAATATTTTTTAACGCACCCCATAAGCATACACCTTTTAAATTTGATTATCAGAAAATATTTGATCTACCATGTGACGAAGAAAATGTAAATTTAAAAAGAATTTTTGTGAAAGCAATCGAGAGTGAAGAATATTTACGTAAGCTGAATACAGAATCTAAGGAAAATGTAGACGCCGCTATACAAAACTACACTGCTAAGGTGTTAAGAGAAAAAATAAAGGAAAAATTAAATGAAGTTGTTCAAAAGCCTCTAATACCAAGCGCAAAGCCGCACATAAAATACTATGATCCAAATAATAAGACATTAATGCATCGTATGCTAAAGGAAGGACTTGAAATATTAGCCAAAGATACAAGATATGTCTTAGCCTCATTGCCCGAAGCACATAAACTGCCAGTTTTACGCTATTGGATATATCAACGTTATGGTAAAGTTTACACCAAAAAGGAAATGGTTAAGATATTTAAAAATTCGACAACACTCTTTCGAGCACTTCTCCATATGCCCATACATGAAACACTACCTTCGCCATATGATCTTGGTCGATCGGTGTTTATTAATTACCGTTGTCATGATTATCTCATGAGAAAGGTAAGTATTGAATTTTGTATGTACAGATACAATGTACATTTTGGTTATTTAAATTGATTATTTGATTATTTTAAAATATTATATATGTATTGTATGTAGATATATATTATATATATAATATATTTTTTTCTAATTTTCAGTCTGATAATATTCGTAAATTATTTTATGATCGCGTCGACAAGGCAATTATGCAACAATCACGTCATCTCTATATAGCCATGACGCCATATATTTACGCTGGCCGCTCACCGAATAAAACAATATTCGCTTATTTACCATCACATCCCAGTGATATACAACATTTTCGAGTGTGGAGCTCACGCAACATGCGGTTAAAACGAAAGTCATCAAATTTAAACCTTAGGTCGACTGCGCGTTATTAAGAACAGCATGGAATTCTGAATTTATTATTTATTATTGAAGTATCGGAAATTTAAGTATTTTAGTGCTCGTGCAAGTTCATTTGCAGAATTTGGTTAACTGTTAATTGCTGCAGCTGTGATAATGCTGCCCAAATTCTGCAAATATTTGTGAGTACTTAAGACGTTGTATTGCTGTATTGTATTATTTTTATAATTAGAAAGTAAATTAATTGTTTCTAAATTTTTCTCGTGTTTTATGGCAGATATTTAATAAAATATTTCCAAATTTAAAATAAAATTTATTTTAACATTTTAATAATTCTAACGCATTATTTAATTTTGACGATTTATTAATTGGCCATAAATGTTTAAACACACATACAAGCTCATTTCTTTAAATTAGTTTTTGCCAAACTCTGCAAATATTTTGTCGGTACTTAGACATTGTAATTTAGTCCTCAAACTGTCTGTCATGCTTAAGTCAGAAAGTTGTAGAGCTACAGTTATTATATTCTACAGTAACATATGTATATATATAAATATATAATTTGGAAGCAGATTTTTAACAAAATATTTGTAAATATGAAGTCGCTTAAATGTATCACTCATTTAAATTTGTTTTAAGAATTTGAGTACACTGCTTATTTGTTTCGCTTTAGTTGCTTTTTATTAATATCGTATAAGTTTGTCTGTTGATGCTCATTTGCCTTAAAATCAATGGCGACCTCTCATTTTACTAATCGTGTACTTACATGTACATATCAATTTATATAAATCGAACGCCTGTTGTACACTTTTCACTACTTATCACACACACTTCACTGCTATTGCATATTTACATATTAAATTTGTATTTACTTTAAGCCGATTGCAACAAATTTGAATAATTTTAAATACATTTCATCACTTTAAATGTAATTGCACATTTTTGACAACTCATAGAAAATAGCGGCTTCACATCCGTTATGTATGCAGCAAGAGGAAATACTGGAAAGTCAATGCGGAAGTGTGATCATTCACAATAGTGTGCTTTAGGCTTAAAGCGTTGCTCTTTAAAAAGTTAGAGAAGCGTTAAGAAATGTACATACACGTATTACAAAATTTCCGTTTGTAAATAATTGATATTTAACCCTTATGTCTATATGTAGTAAAATAAAAAGTTGAACATTTTTGAACTGTCAATAAAATAATAAATTTTTACATTATGCAGTTTTACACAAATTTTATTAGCTGTTAAAATTAGCTTGTGTTTATCAATAAAATTACTAATTGTCACCAAATTTATCAAATTTAAGTGCAATATTGATCCAGCCTCTTCTTATTGCGTATTTATTAATCATTTTTAATAATTCAAAAGGACCATTTTATACAAATCCACAAGTTTAAAATAAAATTCGCTCAACATGTTTTCCGGCATGAAACGTGCAACCAGATTGGAAGCACAGAACACGAAACGTAATCGTCGCATAATTGAGGAATTCGTAAAGAGTGTTGACGTGCCAAACTGGTATCGTGGTTTGTCATCATTTCAGATATCGGCCGCCTATCAATTACATTATGCCATACGTGATGACCTTGAACAGGGTACAACCGATCGTGTTATGCATTTGATTAATCACCTTGGCCTACGACCATCTATAAGTAAACAAAATATTCAATTTATGATGTTTCTAAGTGGTGGCAATGATTTGGCTTTTTTATGGTTCATCAAAGAATTATTCTACAAATCCGATGGCCAAGATTATAATCTTAACGAACAATTAATTTTATCAAGTATTGCACATTTAGACACATTATATACACTGCGTGGTTTGGATAGCATACTGCCACCGGAGCAGCCAACAAAAGAAGAAATTCGTCGTATGGCCCGACAGAAAATTGCTAAACAAAAATTACAATTCCAGGCGACTGAAATTGAAGAAAGAACGGTGAATAGCGTTAAAGTGCATTACAAACTGCCATATTTTGATGAGTTGGTACGACCACGACCTTATCATAATTGTTTAACAGCATATCCACCGACTTATCAAACTAAAATGATATTCGAAGATGTACTTCGCGACCCGAATCATGTAATACCGAATGCAAACAATCGCTGGTTCGCTGATTATCAGTTGCATCCCGGCAAGAAGACGGGTGTGGAAATGTTAAATGAAAAAATGGATGCAATTTTTGAGTCGAAATTCCCTAGACAATCGCTGATGCTTCAGAATGTATTTAACAAACACTTTTTGAACGTGTTAGAGCCAAAATTTTCAAATGACGATGACAAAATGAAAAGGAATTTATGTCTACACCATAAGACCTTAGCGGAAATGGAGATACGAATCGAGCATGAATTACGAATGAGAGCGCGTGACAAATGTATGAAATATTTTGATGCCGAAACGCCGAAAAAAGAGGTAAGAAGTTAATGAGTAAGCGCGTTTAAGATTATTCAGTGACGGACATACAAATAGGGAGCTCGTAAAATCTTGGTTAACAAGCAGTACTATCTGTCTCATCATAACCTGCCCTAGCCTAAAAGTTCTTTCGTACCCCTTTTACTCTCTTCCACTCACCCAGGAACGCATTGCACGCATACGCCAGCAGATTGAGAAAGACGTTAATGAGCGTGTGAAACAATTTAAGCGTTTAGCTGATCGGACGCGCAGTCACCTAGATCTTTGGTCTAAATCATATGACGACATGGGAACGTGCAGCTCAATTGAAACTATCGACGGTGATAATAAGAATTGTGATCGTTTAAGTGGCGGCCTACAACATACGAGTAGATGGTCGGCATCCACATGCCGAAGTCAAAGTTATTTAACACAAAATGATTATACTTCTGGCTATCAAAGTGATTTAAGATGTGAAAATTATAGAAACAACTCCTCTGTGACTGAAAAAAAATATCTCAAATACAATATTGGCGATTGTTTCAATCTTAACGCGGAAACGAGGGTAAAATGTTGTAAGGAATGTAAAGGTCTAGCAGAAACTACGCGGCGCCAACGCTCTCCACGCAACGTTTCTAAAGTACAACGTGCTCGTGAAATATTACATCGGACGCCATGCGATTGTGGCTATAATTATGTAAAGAAATACGATTATGGCCATTCAGAAAAGGCGCCTTACGAAGCTGAAGAATACTTCCGCGCGCCGGATACAAATCGTCCCTACATGTTTGACTATCCGAAAGTATTTGACAACCGGGATCCGCGCAAGGAGCACAGCCGCATGAATGTGCAAAAAACATTTCTTAAAGTTATAAATAGTGATTTAAATTTAGATAAAAATGATCCGAAAGCACCGCAAAATCTTGATGAAGCCGTAAAAGAATATGCGAAAAAAATATTCAAAGAAGGTGTAATAGAGAAAAATATTGAACTTGCCGAACAGGAAGAATTGGAGAAAAATAGACGACGATATGCATTTTTGGATGTTGAAATGGATTATTATGATCCAGATGATCGTAAATTAATGCAAGGTATGCTCAAAAATGCACTCGACCATTTGGCTAAAGATCCGAAATATGTATTAGCTTCTATGCCGGATGCGCATAAGCTGCCTTCGCTACTTGCTTGGATGGAGACACGTTACGGTAAAACGTATACGCGTGAGCAGTTACGTAACGTGCACATTGCATCTGCGCCCACATTCCACGCTTTGAAACAAATGACCGTAGACGTTATGATGCCCTCAGCTAAAAATCTAGGCGATGCCATATTTGTTAATTATAACTGCAGAGATTATCTCATGAAAAAGGTTAGATGTTGTTTTATTCTAGGAGAGTATTTCACTTTAAATTTATGCTAGTTTTTTTATTGTAAATACATATTTTTTTTAATTTTCAGACCGAAAAGCTGCGTAATGACTATTATAAAAAAGTGAACGATTCCATTATGGCTCAATCGCGTGCTTTCTACTTGGCAATTAAGCCGTATGTAGGTAATCATCCCCGACATACCTTCTTCGCGTATATGCCCTCGCGTGAAGCGGATATTCAACATTTTCGTATTTGGCGTCCACACGAGCATATGCCGGCCAAGGATGAGTTCTTCAAGCGGAAATGTCGTGCTATCAGACTGGCGAACCGATTCTATTAAGTTTAGTCGCATTTTCGGTTTGGGATGTAGTGTTGTAAGCGTAAAGAATGTTAAACGAATTAATGTTTATACTCTTGTTGTTTGGTATGGTATGGTGTGTGCAGCGAAAAAATTATATCGTGTGACGTACATATAGAATTTTGCATTAATTTTGACAATAACGCGTCTAGTAGTCAATCACAATTGTTGCACAATTGTTTATCTTATCAGAAATTTTTGCTCAAAATTAAAGAAATGAAATAATTTAACTTGTTTTCTTGTTAACGAAAGATGATTGTAATCGACCAAAATGGCGTATGTATTTCCGTTATTGCTGCGAAAGAGGAAGGAAATGTAAAACAACCATTCACAATAACCTTTAAAACCTTTTGCGACGTCTTATATGCTTATCTGATAATAAATGAATCTTTTCTCTTGGTCTCTAAAGTGTCTGCTTCTCTAATTTTAATTAGTTATCTACATAAAAATTTTTTTTTTAATCTTGTAAAGACATTTTCACGAGCCGCACAAAGGTTAAAAGTATTGCGATTCCCGGGCAAGCATTGTAATTCACAATGAGTACATTTTCAGCTGTTCGATATTTTGTGCTTTCCTTTCAACGCCAACAACAAAAACAGCTAAAATTTAATTTGCACCAATAGCAGAAAATAATCAATAACAAATGTGTCGCAAGTCTGTAAGAAATTTTGAAAATGAATCGCAATAAAATTTCCTTTGGGAAAATTAATCTTAACCCAAATAAACCGGCCGTTGCGGTCGAAAAGCCAAATGATAGTGAGCATGTTGCAACGAATTCAGCCGTGACCGGCGGAGGATTCAAAAAAATGGGTAAGGAGCAGCTTATACGTCAAGTGGAAGAGGTAACTGACGATATGGAAAGTCAGCACCTTAAGGAAGTTATGGGTATAAGCGGTTTTGGACGTAAGGCAGCAAAAGTTTTCGATATTAATGTGAGCATTTCATGCAAAAGATGAAGATAAAAATTTTATAAAGTATTTACTATTAATATTTATAGGAACAAATAGCGAAAGCGCGTGAAGTAGCGCCACCAAAACCACGCACAGAAATTGAGCAAGAGAAAACGGCAGGTGATGATGATTCCGATGATGAACCCGTGTTTGGACCTTTGCCAACCGACGCAGTAGGTGGTGAAAAAGAGCTGAAAAGACAATTAAAAAAATCCAACGCAGACAGTGATGATGATGATGACAGCGAAGATGAGGATGATGACGATGATAAGTTGGAACGAAAAATACCGAATACACATGAGGTGCAAATGCAACATGGTTCACGTGCCGTGCTCGCACTCGCGGGTGATCCCGCAGGGGCACGCTTGGTTTCCGGCTCAATCGATTATGATATGTGCTTTTGGGATTTCGCCGGCATGGATGCGGCAATGCGCAGTTTCCGTACCATACAACCGTGTGAGAATTATCCCATACGCTCATTACACTATTCGGTCACAGGAGATATGATACTAGTGGTTTCGGGAAATTCACAGGCAAAAATACTTGATCGTGATGGATTTGAAAAAATGGAATGTGTTAAAGGTGATCAGTACATAAGCGATATGGCGCGTACAAAGGGTCACACAGCACAACTCACATCCGGGTGCTGGCATCCGTATACTCGTGAGGAATTTCTCACCGCTGCATTGGATGGCACATTACGTATTTGGCATGGATTGAAGTCAAAGGAACAAAAAAATGTTATTAAAACGCGTGCACAAGGTGGTCTACGTACCAATGCCTCGGCGTGCACATTTAACCGCGACGCTACACTGATTGCGTCTGGTTGTGTAGATGGTTCGATACAAATGTGGGATACGCGCAAAATGTTCGTTAACACCACTCATTGTTTACGAGGCGCTCACCAAAAAGGTGCAGAAATCAGTTCCATACAATTCTCTTACTTGGGCACACAGTTGGCCACGCGCTCCAACGATGAAACCATGAAATTGTGGGATTTACGAAAGTTTAAAGATCCACTGCATACTTGGACTGATTTATTTTCTCGTTATGATACTACAGACTGCTGCTTCAGTCCGGATGATAGGATGCTGGTAACAGGTGAATCCTTACCAAAAGGTGCCAAAGAAGCCCAATTGCATTTCTATAGCACACAAACATTCGAAGAGGTGAAGCGCATCGGTGTTACCGATTCACATATAATAAAAACCCTATGGCACCCTAAGTTGAATCAGATATTTGTGGGTTGTGGCAATGGTGTCATAAAATGTTTCTACGATGAGTTGCAGAGTTCCCGTGGTGCGAAATTGTGTGTTGTAAAAACCCATCGCAAGAAGAAACACACCGAAATGGTTGGTGTATCGCAAATCATAACGCCACATGCGCTACCCATGTTTAGACAGGAGAAATCTAAATCGTCACGTAAAAAAATGGAGAAAGAACGTTTGGATCCGGTAAAATCTCATCGTCCAGATTTACCAATTACCAGCGGTCAAGGTGGCCGTGTGGCGAGCTCTGGTGGCACACTATCCTCTTATGTCATACGAAATTTGGGTTTGAGCAAACGTGTCGATGACGATCAGGATCCACGTGAAGCAATATTGAAATATGCAAAGGAAGCCGAAGAGAATCCGTATTGGATAGCGCCAGCTTATAAGAAAACACAACCGAAGCCAATATTTACAGACTCTACCGGCGAGCCGGATGCAAAGAAGGCTAAAGAGGAGTGATTAAGTTAGAATGCTATAAATAATTAAATTTAAATTTAGTCTTCATTATACAAATAAATATACACTAACCAACATTTTCTGTTTTTCCCATATCTTTGTTTTAATCATAAAAAAATGCGGCTTATATGTGTTCTAAATTAAGGAATTACTAATTTTCTGCTCGCGCCAGCCCATCCTGTAGACGATAGCAATCACTAGCTATTTTCCATTTATCTTCCTGTGCGGTAATAATGAAGGTTTGCTGAAATGGCCTCGCACTGTCGTCTGCATAGCGTACCGTACCACCGACTTGTATCATATAAGTAAGTTGACCGCCAACAGCTTCATCGACAATCGGCTGTGCATCTAAGGTTGTTATTGTGTGCTCTGATGTAGGCAAATCAATTAGATATTTTTGTATATTGTCTTTGCCGCTTGAACCATTTCCATTCCAAACCAGTAAGCCATTGTCAAGGTATAAGCGACCCATATGCTGGAAGATAGAATGTATGCATTACACATTGTATTTTTAAAGCAGTGTGCATGTTTACATGTCGCCGTTTGTCGAAAGATGTGTAGAAGAGTTTGGTGAAGTCCTCGGCTGTGCGGCAACATGATTCCACTTTGCTACGTAATACCTGGGAATAAATAAATATTATATTTGCATTCATCATTCGAACATGATAAATATAAATACTCATACATACACTGTCCATTTTTAAATATTTATGCCTTTAAATTATTTGTAATTTTATTATAATCTATGAGAATTGCAAATAAATGTGAAATATGAATGCACACATTTGTTTTGATTTTTGACATTAGCAAAGAACGTACAGAGAACTTATAACATATAACGTTATTATAAGTTCTCTGGAACGTATTCTCTGCTTCTCGTTATTATAAGTTCTCTGGAACGTATATTAATATACGTTCTTTGGAAAGGCTAATTTCAATTGTGTTGCCGTATCGCAAGGTAGAAAATATTGCTCAAATAACCAACTTAATTATGCTTCATACTTGAGTAAATTTTTATAGTTTCACCCTTTTAATCAGTAAATCTTTAAAGAAGACAACATTTTAAGTGCTTTTCGTTACATTTCTTCCTAACCACATAAAAATTGTATGTGCATTCAGCCACAAAGAACGTATATTAATATACGTTCTTTGGTTTGACGAATGACTATTGTGATTTGGACATTTGCTTCTTCTTGCCGCTGTCAAAAGGCGCCGATTTATTTGCGAAATAGCGTTTATTTCTATTCCAACAATTCAATTTGTGTTTTTATTATTTAGCAACTTTTATCGCCAAAATATTTAACAAAAAAAAAGAAATCAAGATAAGCAGGTGTAAAAATACTACGAGATGGCGGAAACATTAGAATATAGTGATATTACATCTGAAATTCGTGGCGTGTTGGTAAGTTCTTGCGTGCCCATGCCGGTCGCATTCCTACACAACGCACATTTCCTTTGATGCATGTTGAACATCTGCTTTAATATTTTTGCAGACACCCGGCCGTTTAAAGTTGACTGATCAACATATAATATTTAAAAATAGTAAAACAGGCAAAGTAGAACAAATAGCAGCAGACGATATAGATTTAATAAACTCACAGAAATTTGTTGGTAATTGGGGTTTACGTGTATTCACCAAGAATGGTACTCTCCATCGTTTCTGTGGTTTTCGCGAATCGGAAAATGAAAAATTGGGAAAGTTCTTGAAGAAAGCGTACAATCAGGACTTGGTGGAAAAGGAGTTGTGTGTCAAAGGCTGGAATTGGGGTACAGCACGTTTCAAGGGATCTGCCCTCAGCTTTGACAAAGATACTAAGACCATTTTCGAAATACCATTGCAACATGTATCCCAATGTATGACCGGTAAAAATGAGGTGACATTGGAATTTCATCAGAGTGATGATGCACCTGTTGGTTTGTTGGAAATGCGTTTTCATATACCCACTATTGAGTCAGCGGAGGAAGACCCAGTGGAAAGCTTCCAGAATAATGTAATGAGCAAAGCTTCTGTTATATCAGCCTCAGGCGATGCTATTGCTATTTTCCGAGAAATACACTGTCTTACGCCGCGTGGTCGTTACGATATTAAAATCTTCTCAACATTCTTTCAATTGCACGGTAAAACTTTCGATTACAAAATACCAATGGATTCTGTGTTGCGTCTATTCTTGTTGCCACATAAAGACAGTAGGCAAATGTTTCTCGTGCTCTCGTTGGATCCACCAATTAAGCAAGGTCAAACGCGATATCACTTTTTAGTGTTGCTCTTTGGGCCGGAAGAAGAGACTTCCATTGAATTGCCATTCACAGAAGAAGAGCTGAAGGAGAAGTATGAAGGCAAGATTGAGAAAGAACTTTCCGGTCCATTGTATGAGGTAATGGGTAAAGTGATGAAAGTTTTGATCGGACGTAAAATTACAGGACCAGGAAATTTTATTGGGTTAGTAGTATGTGTTTATTTTTATATCGTCTTTAGTGTAATTCATGATAACTTTTCTTAACAGCCACTCCGGCACTGCAGCTATTGGTTGTTCGTTCAAAGCCGCCGCTGGTTATCTCTATCCACTGGAACGTGGTTTCATCTACATACACAAACCGCCGGTGCATATACGTTTTGAGGAAATCGCTACCGTTAATTTCGCACGTAGCGGCGGATCAACGCGTAGTTTCGATTTTGAGATTACCTTGAAGAATAGCACCGTGCATACGTTTAGTTCTATCGAAAAGGAGGAATATTCCAAACTTTTCGATTACATACAACAGAAGAAACTGCGCGTCAGCAATATTGGCAAAGATAAGGGTGGCTACAATGATGTTGACTTTGGTAATTCGGACAACGAGAACGAGCCAGATGCTTACTTGGCGCGTGTAAAGGCTGAAGCACGCGAAAAAGACTCGGACGATGAGGAGGGCTCAGAAGAGGAGTCTACGGACGAAGACTTCAAGCCGAATGAGGCGGAATCCGATGTGGCTGAAGAGTACGATAGTAATGTACAGAGCGATATCGAAGACTCAGATGCCAGCGGGGGTGGTGCCGGTGCTGGTGGTTCGGACTCTGGCGCAGAGAAGAAGAGCAAGCCTAAGAAAGAGAAAAAAGAAAAGAAGGAACGCAAAGAGCGTGTGGTGAGTTTGAAAACACAATACGACTTTCGTTTGCAATGCAAAAATAAAAATATATATACTAAAATTATTATTTTTGTTTTTATATATTTTTTTATATATTTTTTTTTTATATATTTTTTTTTTATATATTTTTTTTTTTATATTTTTTTTTTATATATTTTTTTTTATATATTTTTTTATATATTTTTTTATATATATTTTTATATATTTTTTTATATATTTTTTTATATATATTTTTTTTTATATATTTTTTTTTATATATTTTTTTTATATATTTTTTTATATATTTTTTATATATTTTTTTATGTATATTTTTTTTAATATATTTTTAAAATTTTTTTTTTTTTACAGAAAAAGACCACCAAAAGCAAGAAAGATGCTAATAAACCAAAGCGCGCCACCACCGCTTTCATGCTTTGGCTAAACGAAAGTCGTGATCAAATCAGGAAAGATAATCCCGGTCTAAAAATTACCGAAGTCGCCAAAAAGGGTGGCGAAATGTGGAAGGAACTCAATGATAAATCCAAATGGGAAGACCTCGCAGCTAAGGATAAGCAACGTTATCAAGACGAAATGAAAGATTACAAGCCACCGGCTAGTGAGGATAGCGGCAGCAAATCGGGCGTAGCCAAGAAACGTAAGAAGGAGTCGCCAACCAAGAAATCACCAGCCAGTGCTGCCGGTTTCAAGAGCAAAGAGTACATTTCCGATGATGAATCCTCCTCGGGTGATGACAAAAAAGATGGTTCCGGCGCTGTAGATTCCGAGCCGGAGAAGAAGAAGAGCAAAGGGGTAAGTAACGAAAAATTAATAAAAAGTAAATTTGCAGATAAAAGTGCTAATTCTAATAATCTCACCTTATTTTCACCATAGTCCAGTAAATCGGGCAGCAAGGATGATAAGAAGAAAAAGAAGAAGGAAGAAAGTGAGGAGGAGAGTGAAGGTTCTGCCAGCGGCGGCAGTGATGAGGACGACGAAGAGGACGAAGCTAGCGATGATGGCGAAGACAGTGATTAGACATTACGCAGACACATATTTTTTTCGTGTACTTCGTCTCAGTTGTTGTTTTTAAGCGTTTAGTTTTGTAATGCTTCACATAAATATATAAAAGTAATGTTAAGCCGCCACTTAGTTGTAAAAAAAAAAAATAAATTGCTAGAAGTTGATACTACAACAAAATACAATACAAATTAAATATGAAAATTAAGCGTGTTTCTTTCTAAGAAAAGGGAGGTCCAAATAATTTTCATTATGATTATGACCCGAAGTTGACCTGTTTGATTCCACCCTCGCCACCATCTTGGTTGGATTTAACTCGTGCAATGGTTAAAGTCATCTTAATATATACCAGGCGCTTAATAACGCCGCAAACCTTAACCAGTATGCACGCGGAACTATTACCGACTACTGGCAGACCTCCATGGTCCAACAGAGCTCTTCGCAAAAGGCATCCAAGTGAAACGGTAGTCTTGGTACCAACGATCACTTGTCCACACAAGGTTCAAGCCCTGTTGATGCTAAACATTTCCGCTCTGCGAAGGAGGCCTACCTCCTCATGTTCCTTAGCATGATTGATAGAGAAATATTGAGGGAATGGCCGGATAAGAGTCCTGATAGCTTGGGTTGCTAGTCTCTAACAGCAGGCATATTCTACGGCGGGTAAATTCTTGAACCTCTAGATTGCAGCGTTTCTTTAACTTTTTTCGACTAGCCTAAGCCTAATCATCCGCCAACAAAGACGGACAGGGTCAAACCGCCGATATCCCCCCTGTCCTCAATAGCGAAGACTCTGCATGGGTGCTCCACTGACGTAAAGACCTTCACAACTACTCTCAAACAAAACCGAATCAGCACGCGAAATTCAAAATCTTCAAATCTTCTACACCGTCTTATTATCGAATGGACCATGAACGGAGTAAAAGAATGGAGCTAGTTTTGAACCATGAAACCCAAGCAATCTCAGCACAATGTGTGACTCAACTCCTACCTAACTATCATCGATCCTCACATGGCCAACGTATGCCCAGCAAGCAATGAGCTCCCGCTCAACCCTAACAATTCGCTGCCCTTGGTCTGAAACCTTGGAAAGACTGGACTGGACTTTCTGTCAAATGGGTTATCGGCACAAAAGCCGTTTCTCATCAATTGGAAATACCAAGTGAAAACAAATACTTCTTCACCGGATCCTCTCAACTAAGCGGAGGTCATACTCGGGTCTCTCAAAGTAGCTCGAGCTCTTCGTCTGACATGGGTGGTGATTGGATTCAGAGAACGTCGTTTACTGGAAGTTTAAAAAAGTATTGTCGGGCTCTCGGGGGATGGCGTTTCCTGTCAATACGCCGTTTTTTTTATATGGTGCTGAATTGTGCTGAATTAAGTCTGGTAGTAGAGTACTCCATTCCTGATGTGTAAGCCACTACACACATTTCGGACCCAGACGAAATCGTTCAGCCTCAACGCATTTGGGTATTGGTTAATTATCGATATTATCTTTGGCTAAAACAAATCAAAGCTATTACCGTTAATTACTTTCTGATTAGGAAACTTTTGGAGTTTGGTTTGAATTTTTCTTTTTTTTTTTTTTTTAGAAATTTTGCGCAAATTACAGTTAGTTCGTTTACCGTTCACCGTGCAGCAAGCAGGAATTTGCGGAAATTTTCTATCGAATTGATATCGAATATGTGCACTGTTATCTTTGCGACGTTAATATTTTTGCAGATTATTAGTGGGGTAAAAACAATTTTTTTAAGTTTTTACAATTTTAAAATTTACATAAATTTTTTTACAAAAATTTTTTAACAAAAATTTCAGTGTTTTTTATTGGAAAAATTCACAAATTTGCAATGTACGGCATTTGATGAGGGATTTGTCATATTCGACTTTTGTCGCTTGCGCGCAGTGAAGCGTGATGTAAATGAGCTCTCGATAAAGCTTAAATTCCTACAAGCAACGGATAGTATGCGGAATGTGACGGTGAGATGTGAGAATGAAATGAGTTATTTATTTATATTTTTATTTATTTTTTTGTGTTTTTTCTTTTACTTTTAAATTCTCTGTAAACGCAGTGTTACTTATTTTTCAATATTTCCCTCTTTCCGTTTCTCTCTCTCTCTCGCTTTTACTCTCTGTCGCAGCTACGCGTCCAGCTAATGCAAAAAGTTAGCGGCTATAGACCCTTTCTCTATGATATCACCACCGACTTGTGTGAGTATCTGGAGAAGCGCAATCATCCATTTTTAAATATTATTTTCGATGAGTTTAGCAATCATTCATTGGCGGCGCAAAAATGTCCCTTTAGTGTGAGTATTTTAATATGAATTTAAAATTTTTTGTTTTTTTTTTTTTTATTTTTTTAAATTTTTTTTTTTAATAATTTATTTTTTTTATAAAGAATTTTTATCAGTTAAACCTTTATATTCTTAAATTTTTTCTGGTATTTGTTTTATCTAAAAAGAAATTTTACCACATTTTTTGTATTTATTTGGTTTTTTAGTACACTTTTAGTACACATTTCGAAAACTTTTGGCACATTTTTAGAACTCTTTTAGTATTACCTGAAAAAATGTATAAAATATACCTCGAAGTTGAAACTATTTTACCACATTTTTAGTACAGGTTTCGAGAATCTTAGTACATATTTCGAACGCTTAAATAAAGTTTTAGTATTAGCCGAACGATTGTATATAATATGTGTTGTAATTATTGCATAATTATATTAGAAAATACTTAAATCCATTTTTAGTACATATTTCGAACATTTATCGCAAGTTTCCAACGCTTTTAGTACATTTTAGTTTTTGTATTATTAAAAAGGGACAGTATATACTATATAAAGAAATTAAAATGCAATTTTATTGTAAATAATTTAAGAACATTTTTATGTATACCGAATTTCAAACACTTTTAGTACATGTTTCCAACATTTTTAGCACATTTTAATACACTTATAGTACAACTCAAATATTATTATACAAAGAAGTAGACTGAAGAAAGCCTGAAAATTTATTAAAAAATCCTTTAATAAAGTTTTAGTACTTATTTAGTACAATTTATTAAACTTTTGGTACCCTTTTTATTTTATGTGTATTTAATATATCCAGAAGTTAACATTTTATTTTATTATAAAATATTTTAGTACACTTTATGTACAATAATTTTAGTACACTTTGGTACATTTTAGTACCTCTTTTATATTAACTGTATACAATATACCCAGAAGTTAATATGTTATTTTATTATAAAATATTTTACTACATTTTTAGTACATGTTTCGAAAACTTTTAGTAGACTTTAGTACATTTTTAGTACACTTAGTATTATCCAAAACGAATGTATATGCTATATCCAGCAGTTAGAATGCAATTTTATTATAAAATATTTTAGTACATTTTTAGTACTAAGAAAAAAACTATCAAGCAATCAAATATTTTTCAATGCATGCAGATTATTGTTTAATAAAATTTTTTTTTTAAAAAAGATTTTTCTTAAATTTTTTTTTTATAAAATTTTATGTCTTATATTTATATTATTATTTATTTTTAATTACTTTTCTTATATTTTTTTTATTAATTTTAAAAGTTTATGTATCCCATTTTTTTATAAAAATTTGTATACCCCTATTTTTATTAAAAAAAAAATATATTTATCGTATAATTTGTTTTTGTGAAATTTATTTTTTTTTAACTTTTATACATTTTCTTTTTCGAAATGCTCTATTAATTAATATTTTAATTATTTTGCTTAAATTGTTTTATAAAAAAAATTTAATTTCATATTTTATAAAACTTTAATAAATTGTTGTAGTTATTTTTTTTATAAAAGATTGGGCTTACTTATATTTAGTACAAAAAATTACTTAAGTCAAATTTTTTTTTAAATAAATCGTTCACCAAATAATTTTTTATAAAACTTATTTTACATAAAAAAAGTTTTTCTTGTTTTTTTATAAAAAAATTATTTTCCCTTTATTGTTTTAAAAAAATATTTTTTTTTTAATTTAAACCAAAACTTGTTTCTTATATTTTTCTATAAAAAATTTAATTTCCCTTTGTTTATCTGTTTTTTTATTAAAAAAATATTTTACTTTGTATTTCTATCTTTAAAAAATTTATTTTTTTTTTATATATTTGTGTATACAAAATTTTAATTTTGTACATTTTTCTTAAATTTATTAACACAACATTGTACTTTTCTTATTTTTTACTTTTATAAAAAATGAATTATTCTTATATTAAAAAAAAAATATTTATAGATTTTATACATATATCTTATATTTTTTTTTATACAAAAACATAGTTTTCTTATATTATTCTTTCTTATTTTTCTTATATATTTTCTTTTTTTTCGTGTATATTTTTTCTTTAAAATTTATTTTTATTGTAAATTTTTTTTAAACAATTTTAACTTCTTATAATTTTTGTAAAGTATTTAATTTTTTTTTATATTTTTAGACAAGATTGTATTTTTCTTATTTTTTACTTTTATAAAAAAAATGTATTTTTTCCATATTTTCTTTAATTTGAAATGTAATTTTTTATATTTGGTTTTTTTATTAAAAAAAATATATATTTTTCTCTATAATTTTTATTTAAAAACTTTAAATTCAATATTATTTATTATTATTTTTTTTTTTGATTATTTTTTTTTCCACAACATTGTATTTTTCTTATTTTTTACTTTTATAAAAAATTTTATTTATTCCATATTTTTTTTAATTAAAAAATGTATTTTTGTTTTGTTTTATTTCGTTTTTTTTATTAAAGAAAAAAATATTTTTTCTCTAAAATTTTCTATTTAAAAACCTTAAATTCAATATAATTTAATTATAATTTTTTTAATTATTTTTTTTCCAGAACATTGTATTTTTCGTATTTTTTACTTTTATAAAAAATTAATTATTCTTACATTAAAAAAAATATTTATTTATCTTATACATTTATCTTATTGGTTTTTATACAAAAACTTAGTTTTCTAATATTATTCTTTCTTACTTTTCTTATATATAACTTTTTCATCTATATTTTTCCTATAAAATTTATTTTTATTGTAAAATTTTTATAAACTAGTGCTTATAATTTTTGCAATATATTTACATTGTTTTTATTTTTTTACACAACATTGTATTTTTCTTATTTTTTACTTTTAAACAAAAATGTATTTTTCCTTTATTTTTTTTAAATTAAAAAAATATATTTTTCTTTTATTTGGTTTTTCCTATTAAAAAAAGCATTTATTCTCTATAATTTTTTGTTTAAAAAATCTTAAATTTAATATAATTTTATTAAAATTTCTTAAAATATTTTTTTTCACAACATTCTTATTTTTTAATTTTATAAAAAAATGTATTTTTTCCATATTTTTTTAATCAAAAATTTTTTTTTTCTTTTTATTTCGTTTTTTTATTTAAAAAAATATTTTTTTCTAAAATTTTCTATTTAAAAACCTTAAATTCAATATAATTTAATTATAATTCATTAAATTATTTTTTTCCCCAACATTGTATTTTTCTTATTTTATAAAAAATTGAATTAAAAAAATGAAATTCTCTTATATTAAAGTATATGTTTATAAATCTTGTACATATTTCTTATACTTTTTTATATAAAAAATTAGTTTTTATTATTTTTTATATTTGTCTATAAAATTTTTTTTATTGTCAATTTGTCATAAACAAATTTATATCTTAAATTTGTATAAAACATTGCATTTATCAAATATTTAATTTTTTTTAATAACCTATGATTGTTGTATATTTTTTTTTAACAATTGATATAATGATTTTTTTTATACAGTTATATAATTTTTCTTATTTAATTTTTTAATATTATTTATTATCATATTTTACATTTTTTTAAAATAATTTTTTACATATTTTTTTTATAAAGAAATTATTTTTCTCTTATTTCTTTTTGTGGAAAAAAATGTTTGTTATACGTTTATTTTTAATTCTTTTCGCTTTAGAATGAGCTCACGGTTACGCAGCTGCCGTTCCCCAGCCATATGCTGAAGGTATTGCCATTGCCAAAGAATGAATATGCAATTTTTGCCACCCTCTCCGTGGTGGGAGAAAAGCGCGCCGGAGTGAAAGTATATTTCATGCTGACGGATTAGTAGCTGAGATATATTGATATTATACGTAACTTCAGTATCGAAATTCAAAAATTTAAATAAAATATTTTAATTGTTTCTGGCCTGAAGTATGAAATTTATTGCAATAATTTAGTGAGTTTAGCCCAGGGACTCGAAGGGTAAAACCAAATCTCCTCCGCAGACTTGTAATTTATCTGCCAAATAGTAGTGGGGCGCCTGATTTCTCTATAGTTTAGATTGTCCAAAAGGTTATCGGGAAATCAAAAGCATCCAAATTCATCGGCGCTGATGAATAAGCATGTTGCCTCTAAGAATTCTCACAATACCCGACATATGCCAGCAGGGTAGAGTGGTTCCACTACTGAGACCGAGGGAAGCCAGTCAAAAAAGGAGAGAAACATATATGACGATATATCCCAAGCGACAAATAAATTCCTGACAATATCAGAGCCAACTTTTCGGAAGTCACGATGACGCACTGACTTCCATATAAAGCTTACAATGCGATTTAGTTATTTTTAGAGAGAAAAAATAAAATTAGAAAAAGGTTATTCTCCTGCTTACGCTGTTCAGCCACATAAACCAAAAAAAAAAATTTAAAAATTAAAAACAGATAATCTCTCACACTTGGCGCATGCGTAAAATAAATCGAATTTTATATATTTTTAATTAAGGGAAAAATTTAAATACAACAAATGCAAAAAAAAAAAAAATAAAATAAGCATTTGTAAAGTGCAATAAACATATTAACCGCTATTAAACGCTCGCAACAAATTTTAATTTATATGGCGACAACAAAACAATTGACCTAATGAAATCATTTATAAACATAAATAAATTATCACCGAAACGGAATCAGCTGAAAATCGATCGTAAATTAATAAAAAATGTTAATTAATATTTATTTACTAAAAAAATTTTTAAAAGAAAATAGCTACAAAAAAAAATAAAAACCCTTAAAAAAGCTAAAAAAAATTATTTTAATAAAATTTAAAAAATATCATATATTAAAAATATTTCATACGAAAGTTCAATTTTTTCTAAAAATTTGTACATGGAATAAAAATAAAATAATTAAAAAAATAGCTAAGAAAAACTTAAAAAAAATTATTTTAATGCAATTTAAAAAAAAGAATTATATATTAAATATATTTTATACGAAAATCAATTTTTTCTTAAAATTTTTACAGGGAATAAAAATATAATAATGAAAAAAATAACTAAAAAAAAATTATTTTAATAAAATAAAAAAAGTATCACATATTAAAAATATTTTTTACCAAAATTAAATTTTTTCTAAAAATTTGTACGTGGAATAAAAATAAAATAATTAAAAAAATAGCTAAAAAAATTAAAAAAAAAAAATATTTTAATAAAATAAAAAAAAATATTATATAAATAAAATAATTTAAAAAATAGCTAAATAAATTGTTATAATAAAATTTAAAAAAAATTTATATATAATATTAAATATATTTTATACGAAAGTTCAAATTTTTTTTCTAAAAATTTTTACATGGGCAATTTTGCCTAAAAAATTTTACTTTTATTTTATTCGTAACGAAAAGTAATCAACATTAAAGTACTTTGTATATTAATTAATTTCCTTACAACTGCGGAAATTATTAAATAAATATATATTTAATTTAAATTGTTTTTATATTAAAAACTCTACATTTTCGCCTGTAAAGATTTTTTTCCGCCTCCTTGCCGCCTTTCTGTGCCTTTTAATTGCTTTTATAGAATAATGTGAGTCAGCTGACGACGTGCTTATTGTTTATACCTTCCATGCACACACACACACACACACACACACATACATGTTATTATGCCATGAAGTTCAAAGTTCTACAACCTTCGGGGGAAAAAATGAGTTTAGTTCAATTTCTTAAATATTTTACGTTTAACAATTACAAGTAATTCCTGCTTCCATGAATGCATTAATCATCGCTGAGCGAGTTAATTTGTAGACTTGTTGACAAAATTTTAAATTTACTCGCCTTCTGATTTTTTTATAATTTTATCATATATATTTTTTTTTTACTTGTATAACGATGTTTTAAGCACTTGTTATTGATATATTTAATTAAAAAAAATGGAGGTTGTTTTATTAATATTAAATAATTATTTAATAACGAAAAAATTTAAATAAAAATTAAAAATTATTATGAAAATTAATAAACAATAAAGAGCACAAAATAGAATTTTCAAAAATAGTACAAAATAAATTTTATAAAATATTTTTAATAAATTCTTATTTTTCAATTTAATTTTTCAGTAATTTTTCCATAATTTTATTACTACTAAATTGTAAAAATATTTCAATTTCAACAAATAACGCATATTTCCAGACCAATATTTCTTAAATTATATTAAATATTTCGTCATGAAATCGAATTGATGTAATGAAAAATATGTTCATATGTATATATGTACAATATATTAAAAAAAAATATTGATTAATGATGTGTTAGTTGACCGTCGTAACGTCGGAAGTTGCATTGTTTTTAACTAAACTCAAATACATACTGCATTCAAGCATAGCGGTCAAGCCAGTTGTCATAACAAATATATTTTAATGGTCAATGCATGCATTTCCATGAACGTACGTATGTATGTACGTCGGTCGATTGGTGTATAAGTAGCCAAATATGAATAATGATGCTCTGCTGTTAATCATAGACAGCGCATCCTCAATTAATGAAGTAGTGTTGTTGCAGTTTTCGATTAAAAAATATTGTTTACTAGTTGTTGGCCTCATGCTTTTGACATTACAAAACTTATGGTTGAGAGGAATAATAAAAACAAAGTAAGAAATAAGTAAAAATTTATAAAAAAAAGATTTAAATTAAATCAAAAAATATAAAATTAAATACAAAACTAAAATAAAATAAATAAAATAAACAAAAATAAAATGAAATAGAAAAATATGAAATTAAAAAATAAAAACATTAAATCAAAATAAAATAAAATTATAGCAAAAAAATAAAATATAATGCAACAAACAAAATAAATTAAAAAAAAAAAACAAAATTAAATAAGTTAAAATAAAATGTAATGAAAAAATGATATAAAATAAAGTAAAAAAAAAACAAATAAAATAGACTTATTTAAGTTAAAATAATATTAATTAAATAAAATCAAATATAATAAAATAAAACAAAATAACTTAAACTAAAATAAGATAAAATAAATTAAAACCGATGAAAGTAAAAAATTAACATGAAATAAAGTAAATAAAATAGAATAAAAATTAAAAAAATTTTAATTGAAAAAATAATTCAGTTTTTATAATTTACAATACAGTTAAATAAAATAAAATAAAATAAAATAAAATAAAATAAAATAAAATAAAATAAAATAAAATAAAATAAAATAAAATAAAATAAAATAAAATAAAATTAAATTAAATTAAATTAAATCAATTTATTTAAAATATAATAAAAAAAACTTATATAAAATAAAGTAAAATTAAATAAAAGAGATAACAAAAATTTAAATGAAATAAAATTAACCAAATTAAAATATAGTAAAACAATATTAACAAATTAACACAAAATATAGTTAATTTAATTAAAATAAAAAAAAATGAACAAAAATTAAATAAAATGAATTAAAGTAAAATAAAATAATATAAAATAAAATAAAAAAAATAAAGTAATATTGACTAAAAGATTGAAAAAATATGATAAAATTAACGTAAGAAAATAAGAAAACAAAATAAAATAAAATAAAATTAAAATAAATATATTTCAACCAAATAAATTAAAATAAAATAAAACAAAAAAATAAGAAAACAAATCAAAATAAAATAAAATAATCTGAACTAAAATAAAATATAATATAATTAAATAATTTGAATAAAAATAAAATAAAACAAAACCAAATGAATTCAAATAAAATAAAATAAAATAAAATGAAACCAAATAAAATAAAATAAAATTAAACAAAACAAAATAAAAAATTAATTAAAATAAATTAAAATAAAATATAATAAAATAAAATGAAATCAAGGCAAATAAAATAAAATGTAATTAAATCAAAAATGCACAAAAAAATTAAATTTCAAAAATATAAGCTGAATATAAATATATATATATCTAAGGGTTTGTCTTGAATAAGTGATGGATCACAGCCTAAACCAGTGATGGTAGAGGTTTGTAACTTGGTGTGTGTGTTCTGTGTATGACGTATGCGCAGGATAAGAAATGTTGAAGTTAACCTTGGGCTAATATGGTCGTATTTTTTATTCGATTTCCTTGAGATCCTCCAATTTGTGGTTTACGTCTTGATGTTTTTCCAACGAAGGGGTGGGACCTACTGTTTATAATAAGCCGCCTCTGAACAGTTTATTGTTTTTCTTATGAGGAGCCTTTAATTCATGTCAGACGGGTGGACATTCCCTGCCGAGGGGTGACGGCAATTAGAAAATTTAACTTATTATTTTATTTAAATTAATTTTTCATAACTTTAGGATGTTGGCGGCACGTGGATGTGAACCCGAGACTTTCGAATGTCAGTACGCAATGCTAACCACTCGGCTACATAACATAGTGACTTTTAATAAAATAAATCTTATTGGAATCCTTTCAGAATTCCCTGCGGACGAAGTCGTAGTCGCAGTATAAGATAAAAAATAAATTTTAATAATAAAAAATAAGGAAATAAAACACTTAATCACAAATAGCTTTATCGTTTTATCGTTTTGTAGGAAAAATAATACTTTTTGAAACTTTTTTATTATTTCGCTTAGAACTTTATCCAATATCTTAATTAATTTTAAAAATAAATTCAATCGTCTGTGTTTTGTGACAGTTCAAGTTTTTGCAATTGACCCCTGTCATTTCTGTTCACATATTAATTATGCAAAAAAAAGCAAAAAAAAAAAAAGAAATTAACGCTTGTCAATATAAACAAAATCATGCAAATTTGTATTAGAGAATGCATTTAAAATTATTTTTGTATGGAAAAATGTGGCATAAATATTATATTAAAAAAAAACAACAACTAAGAAATTTAAT